TTACAAATGCTTGTTCTGCTTCAAGGGGAAGCATTTTCAGTTCCCAAGAAATAATCTGCAAAACAAGACTCTTCTCAACACCCTGTTACAACTTTGCAATTTATAAAGTACCAGTGAGCTCATTCGAAACATCCCTGGTTGACAAACACGCGCTTTGCAACACTCAGCTGGCTCCAAAACTGCCACTGGAGATGCTGACAGGGATCTTCCTCCTGAACATCACTTGCGCAGCACTGAACACACCACACAAAACAGCTACAACAAATCCAAGCCACATTCTCAATACTAACTCCTATGCACTATCACATACACCGACCACAGTCGATGAGCTAACAGACTCTCAAGTCTGGCTAGCCCCCAGGCCTCTGGGAACACTTTTTTGCCAAAATGCCAGTAATTCAGACCACAAGGAGATAGGGAAGCAGCACTGAGGTCACTGGCACAATGTGAACACTGCTGCAAGCTTGTGTTCACAAAAAATCTACCACATTTTGACAGTTTCCTTCTTTTCACCCACTTACTCCAATCCTGTCAGCTACCATATACCCTCGATGCCACAGCAATAGCTACTCCACACATCTACAGGAACACTGGGGTAAAATTCCAGCCATCACAATCAGAATTAGTATTTTAAAAAAGAAAAGCCTTTTTTTCTGTTTGTCTTTTTAAGATCCAGTATGACATTTGCTGAATGGTGCCCTGAAGTCTACTTGAGCTTCAGATCCCGCATTAGGTACAGAAGTATTGATGCCAGCATGGAACATACCATTAGAGACGGATCGATGCTGTCGGGGAGAGTGACAAAGCTGCTGTAACACAGCCCAAGAAAACACTCCTTTGCAATTAGAGAGCGGTAATAGAAATCAGAGACAGATATTCAGCCTTTAAGACATTCTGTTTAAATCCCTATTGATCATCTCTGAGATGATGTCTACTTTTTGCCAAATTAGGATTTTATTACCACTACAATGGAAATGTCTAGAAACAATAATTTCTCACAGAACAACTTATGCATCTAGTCAGAGCAGGAAACTGCCTGGGCTAAAGCTCACCTCAAAACACCCCAAGCCCACCAGTTTGATTTTGCATGGTCAACTCCTGATGCAACTCACTGTGCTGGAACTCACACCAATGTGGTGCTGGGCAACCACACGAGTCAAAGCTTCCACAAGCTTAAACAGGCCCAATGCTGCTGCCTCAGCTTGATCTTGATAAGGTTCAGTAAATGCTTTACAACTAAAATCACCAGCACCCATAAATTGATTATAAAATCCAAACCAAATGGTTAGTGCCAGAAGGAGAGGTTTGATGAACAGCAGATTAAAACACACACTGGTTCCTCATCAGCACAAGGTAATCCAAGATGCACACAAAACAGAAATGCAGTTTAAATGATAAAAAATAATTCAAGGAGTCATCTGATTGAGAAACAGAGCTACAGTTAAAAACTGGTTTTCAACACCAGCCCTTACACAACCACGTTAAGGGCTTCGGGGTTTCCCCCCTCCTTCTTTTTTGCACTGTGTCAAACAGCTCTTTTCCGCTGCATTTAACAGTTGCTGAAGAAAGTCTGTGCCTTGGCCACATTGCTACTAAAATCATTTTTCAGTACAACATCTTCTTGAAAACTGCTTAAAGGAACAACTCCTGTTGCAGCATTCTGCGGCCTGATGCTTTACTCAGGCAGAGAACACTCACCTCTGCCCTGCTGCTGCTGCCAGCACATAATTCAGATTAACACAGCATCAACTCCTGCTCACTGATGCTTTTGCCATGTCTGTAACTTCCACTGGAGGTTTGCAGCTCCTGTATCTGCAACTCTAACCCAAAGTCATCATCAAAATTACACACTTCCATTTGTAAATACAAGACCAAGAAAATCACTATCCAAACCTATAAGTTTCCAGGATCTTAACTACAGGCCAAGCTCAGCTATTCAAAGAATGGCTTTGCAGGGAAACCCCCACATCCCCCTCAAAGAGCTGGGAGAGCTGACTGTACATAACCTTATTATTCTCTTACTAGATGAGTAGCTCCTACAAATGCAAATTACTGCGAATGCTCTCCACCACTGAAGCCAAAGAAAACCGAAATGCAGCACACTGGTTCCATACATTCACCCCGCAGCGGTTGTACAATCGTAGTTTCTCGTGCCTACAGATCCTCCCCAGCTTTGCTGCAGCATAAACACAGGCAGACTTGGCCACTGCACAGAAAAAGAGACTTTGGGAGCTGAAGCAAGCAGCTTAACACAGCGTAATGATGGAATAATCATTTTAAAAGTCACGGTCTCCTTTAAAACAGCACAACAAACCCTGCCTGGGGTCACCACGAGAAAGCTCACACTGGGGCCGGAGCGCAAGCTCCCCAGCAGGGCACATCAGGAGCCGCTCGCTGTTTACCTTGGACAGCTCAGAGCAGCTCAGGGCAGCGCAGGGTTGCACAAGAACAGAGACTCTTTGTGCCCCTGCGGGGACCTCACCTCCGCACCTCACTCCCCCGACTTACAATGATTCTTTCAAAGAACTCACCACACTGCAGCATTCTGTCGCCCAGCCTGTGTCTGAGGATGCCCACAGCTGGTGGCACAGCTGCTGCGACGTGGGGATCACATCTGGCCACATAGAACCCTACACACTTGGTTCTGCGTCCTGCTCCAGCAGGGAAATGAGAGGGAGATGACAAAGGAAGCCTAAGCCACCTCTTTCTTGTAAATGTGCAAATTCAGGGTCCAACCCTGGATCCCAGAGAGTAACAAGGAAGAAAAACATCATCTAGAGCTTGAAAAATCAACACTGCTGTTTTGAGGGAACTTCATGATACCGTTACCTTGAACTAAACTCCTTGCAGCTGAAGGTATTCATCTCCATGCTTGGAGGGCTCAGTCCTGATTGTGATGCATTTCTTTAATATCTTTCAGACATTCCAAATACTATTATGTAGTTAGGAATTTCTTTTCTATCAAATTATTTAATAAAAACATGCTGAAGACATTAGGAAACATTGCGACACTGCGCCATCATCATTAGTGCTTCTCATTTTTAAACCCACAGATTAGCATTCCTGCTTTAACTAAGCTTTTACATGCTGGTTTGCATACTGTCTACAGCAAACCATGTACAATGACATTCTGATCTTCTCCACAGCCAGTAGGAGCAAGTACATGAGTGACTGTCTCATATGAAAGTACAATCCAGCTATAGGGATGTGTGTGCCTGTGGACATGTTTTATGGACAAATTATGGGGTTTTTACGTGATTTTTATTTCATTCCCCTTCAGTCAAATGGCCACCTATGGACAGCTACACCATTACAATACATCCTGCTTGAAGAAATTAAACCAGGAGCTTTGGGTTCAAAATATTCAGGTTGAAAATAAAGCCACCAACTTTTTACTCCGTGTGGTTTTGACCAGCTCGCAGAAGCAGCACAGGCACACACAGCTTTTGGTAACACCTACAAATGCACAAGCAAACCCTGTCACAGCACCAGCACACGGGCTGATAAAGCACTGAACTGCATACCTGCAGACACAGAGAATCAGGTTTGTGTCACTGAGGTCATCACTAGAGACTCTGCTGAGATGTGATGTTAGCTCACCTTCTGCAAGTGGCCTGCATGCAATGCCCACTCTGCCTGCAGGAAAAGCCTGTCTGGAGGTGCTGGGATTTTGCTGAATGTTTCCAAACATCACCATTAACCTGGTTTTTCTCCCTCATTTTCACACCAGTAACATCCACACCAGCACAAACTCTCCACGTGGGGCTTTTGGGGAGTTAGGGGTTTTGGGGGGGGGTCTTTCTCTTAAAGTAAGACTGCAAGGTCCATAAGAGGGAGCTCAAACACAGCTCCGGCTGGAAGCCCTCAAAAATAAGGGGTTTTAACAATGTAGATTACGAAAAAACCCCAGTTGTGGAATCCTGAGAGTATCTTCAGCTGAATGGGAACCACCTTTAAAACGCACATCATAGCTGCACCCGATTTTCTTTAATAATCTTACATTCTCCATCATCTGAAGAGCCATACATTGAACAGCTCAGCACTACCTGTGGTATCCTGCATGTTAATGTCTGGTTAACTGTAATTTGCAAGGGCAGCAACAGCCTTGAACAGCGAATCCAACGCAGCAAGTACCACTGGGCTGTGTTACAGCACAAATGGAGAGCAGGCCCTGGTAAACAGCCCCTCCTTGAGAAACCAGTGCAGTTCTGAAATTCCATGTCTCACATAAAAAAAGCAGCAGAACCAGCAGCAGAATAAAGGAGTCAATGTCACACAGGAAAAAAAAGCCTCCCCCTCTTCTCACCCACTTTGTTACTATGGGACTGGCAGAAATCTCTGGATTATAAACACGAAGGTCCCACTCACAAGACAATTAAGCAGCTCCAGAGCTTCTATCGGCCACCCACCCACCGCCACGACTCTCCCCAAGGTCTGTGTCTGCCAGCAAACCCAACACGCGTTCTGCAATGTGCCAGCTCCAACCAGGCCCTGGCTGCTCCCAAGAACAGGGGAATGCTCCTGAAACCAAAGGGATTCATTTGTCAAAGGAATTCAAGTGAATGGTGAGGGCAATAGAGAAAGGAGGAGTTGACATCATGCTCTAGTCTGTCCTGGGTAAGAAAGAGGCATCATAACTTCAAAATCTCAGCTGGAGCAACCAGCAGGAATAGGCAGAAGACAACCAAGTCAAAAAGGAACCTCAGAAACAGCACATGTGGAACAGCAGTTCCCTGCTCTGCTATGTCCAGCCCCAAACACTAAAGCAGCCAGGATGGTAATACTGCAAACACTGCAAAAAGACAATTACTAATAATGAAAAGGCAACCGAAATTCTGGGCTGCTTCCACAAACTGAGTAACGCATTTGCACAGTGACAGCAGCAAAGTGTGTTTTGCCAAATGAAATGAGAGCAAACGGCAAAGTTGTGCTTAACCCCTTTTTGCTTTTATGCTGCATTTTAAACACAGATGAAATCATGGAATTTAGAAGAAAAAGTCTACAAAGAAGACATTTTATTCAGCTATTTGGTCAGTGTTTCCATCACTTCAGTACCCAGAATCCTCAGAAAACTTATTCATCTTGGGTCCTTTCCTCAGTACCAGGTTCTTGAAAATAAGATGGGTTTTCATCTACAAAACCAGGGTCAGGAACCCTCAGATTGAGGAGGAACTGAATCAGGATTTGGACTTATCTTGCGGAAGGTGAACGCTAAACCTAAGAGTTAACCTGCAATTGCAGACTCTCAAGAACACTCAGCTCTCGAGTGGCTGCAAAGACCAACCACCAAAAGGCAAAATCCTGGGTACAGAGCTACTCAGGCAGAGGTGCAAGAACCAAGGCGGCTCCATCGACTGCAAACATCCCTAAAGCATCCTCGCTCCTCTCTCAACTAACTCCATCAGGAACCCCACCAGCATCCTCTAAAAGACATCACCAACAAAGCTTTGGCCTCGCGCCTTCCCAAGCAGGAGCTGTCAGAAGCACCATGGCCTTTCTTTGACATCTGACCAGCAGCAGAACCAACTCCAAACAAGGATTCCCCCTATCCTGACAGGAAGGAATAAGAGGAAACATGTTCCTGCAAATCCAAGGGTACGTTCTCCTGTTCTCCCATTCCTGCGAAGGTTCAGGCACAAACAAGATCAGAAATTTTCCTTTAAACAGTTAAAAGAAAACCCAAAACGTTGACACAAGCAGGTGAGACAAAAACCCTGCAGAAAAGCTCTGACATCCCTATGTCTAAACCAGAAGAGGCATCTGATGTTTGGAAAGCACATTTGTTATGCAGGTAATTTCTGCTGATGGGCTTTGCAGAGGCATCACAAGCCAAGGAGGGTTTGGAAGCGCAGCAATTTGCACCTACGACAACTGGAGTGTAACAGGAACAACATGAACGACACGGAGCCCAGCAGCTCCCACCCAGGCTCTGCACACCCATGGGTGCTCCACAGCAAAGGAACCAGGGCTTTACCTGCCCGCACCTGAAGGGATGCTCCGCAGGGCCCTGAGGGAAGCAAGCGCTCCTTAGGTAGGCAGGAGCAAGGCTGGGACCCCCCCCGCCCCAATCTGGGCCTGTCGTGGGGTGAAGAACCGGGAGAGCCCCTCTCAGATACGAGCGAGGAACCGAGACCCCCCCCCTCAGAGCCTGTCCTGAGGAACCGGGGACCCCCCCTCAGACGCTGATGAAGGAACCGGGACCTCCCTTCGATCGCGGTGAAGGAACCGGAACCCTCCTCAGCCCCATCCCAGGGCAGAGGTGTCCCCCCGACGCCACAGGAACCCCCGCCCAACCGGGCCCGCTCCGGCGGAGCCATGACGGAGCTGCCCCGACCCTGCCACGGGGCAGAGCCCCCCCTCCACCGGGAGAACGGGGGACTCCCCCTCCCAATGCGCGCCAGGCCCTGCCCCACCGCGCCGGCCCGGCGGCAGGTGCCGCTCTCCGGAGGATGCTCCGGGCCGGGGCCCGGTACCCGGGAAACAGATGGGAGGGGGGGGTTAACGGGGGACCGGGGGGGGCCCGCACCGAGGGCACCGCCCGCCCCCGGCAGGGGGCGCTGCCCGCCGCCCCGCCCGCCACCGCTGCCCCCGGGCTGAGGGGAGCCGCGGGGGGCGCCGCCCCTCCCCCCCACCCCTCCGGAGCCGCCGCGGCGGGGGCGCGCGGGCGGGCGGCGGGGCGCGGCGCCGTCCTCACCCGGTGCGCGCGGGTCAGGCTGAGGTCCTTCATGACCTCCTCGAAGGCCGCCGTCTCCTCCGCCTGCTTCTGGTTGTGCAGCGCGATCTTCTCGCTGAATTTCCGCGGGTTGTTCGAGGCCGCCATCTTCCCCCGTCCGCATCCCCCTCCCCGCGCCGGAGGGGGGGGGAGGAGGGAGACGCGCATGCGCCGCGCACGGCCCCGCCGGGAGGGAGCGCAGCGCGCGTGCGCGAAGGGAGGGGGCGGTGAGGGGGCGCGCGGGCGCATGCGCGGCGCCGGCAGGGAGCGCTGAGGCGATGGCGGCTGCAGGGTCCCGCCGCCGCCCCCACTGGGTCCTGGTGTCCTCCTGAGGCGGGGCTGGAGCCGCTCTGCCATGGGGACAGGCTGAGAGAGCTGGGCTGGAGAAGAGAAGGCTCCTGAAGGGGAGACCTCAGAGCAGCTCCAGTGCCTAAGGGGGCTGCAGGAAACCTGGAGAGGGGCTTGGGACGAGGGCCTGTAGGGACAGGCCAAGGGGAATGGCTTGAACCTGCCCGAGGGGAGACTGAGCTGAGCTCTTAGGCAGAAGCTCTTCCCTGTGAGGGTGCTGAGGCGCTGGCACAGGGTGCCCAGAGAAGCTGTGGCTGCCCCATCCCTGGCAGTGCTCAAGGCCAGGTTGGACACAGGGGCTTGGAGCAAGCTGCTCCAGTGGAAGGGGTCCCTGTGGGAGGGGTTGGAGCTGGAGGAGCTTTAAGGTCCTTTCCAACACAGACCAGTCTGTTGTTCTTTGCCAAGGCAAAACAAGGGTGTTCATGTGTCCCCACTGGGTGCTCAGACACCAAACTCCTCCCAAGGCACAAGGCAAGTTCTGAATCTCTAAAAAGCCAGGTATTCTTCAACCAGTGGATCTAAACTCTCCATTTTAAATCTTCTGTCTAAGCTCCCTCAGGTTTGCTGCCTTGGCTTAGAAGGGGTTTTCCCTCTGGATGGGGCAGTGTGTGCAACAGGGAAAGAAAGGGAGGGGAAAACAATCTATGCATTCATTAGCAAGGCTTTTAGAACGAGCAGCAGTTCCTACGCTGCCTCTTAGAATCATGGAATCCCAGCCTGGTTTGGATTGGGAGGGACCATCCAGCTCCAACCCCTGCCATAGGAACCCCTTCCACTGGAGCAGCTTGCTCCAAGCCTGTGTCCAACCTGGCCTTGAACGCTGCCAGGGATGGGGCATTCCTTGTGCAAGATCAGCAAAGGCCATACCCCCACAGCAGAAATCTGGTACCAAGATCCCAAATCAAGTCTTGATTCCTGGAAGAGGTTCAGGAGCTGGGCGCCCTCCTGTTCACTTGCTGCTCAGGTGTGTTGTCCAGCAAGGCAGCAGCAGAGCCTGCGGCTGTGTTCTAAGCTACCAGAACAAACCGGAGCCATGTTCCGATGCAGGCACGTCCCTGCTGCGAGGGGAGGACCGCCGGGTTGGAACACAGGCTTAGGCTGCTAAACCATTGATTCCAGCTGTGCTAACATCAGGTGGGTGCAGAGTGCTGTGATGTGCAGGACGCACGCATTAGGCAGTAATAAATCCTGTTTCCCAACACCCACACGGTGCCCTTTACACTTTCCTTTTTACAAAGCACCAGTAAATCAAGTGGACGCTCTGGGTTTTGGTGCATCGCTCTGGCCCTGAGCACTGCTCACTCCAGTAACCAAACCCTGCCATGGCGAGAGCAAAGAAATGAAGCTCCACTCTCACTTCCATTGCTGATCACTCCAGGGCCTTGGTTCTCTCAGTTTGCCATGCATTTAGAAGTATTTCCTGCCCCCATAACATAACATTATAATTATCTGCCGCTGCAAAGCTGTTGGAGATGGATGGGTGAGACTCGCTTCAACGGTCAGGATTAGCATTAGCCACAAAGTCACGTCCTACCCGAAATTCTCATTGCCAACTCGCACTTCCAAGTTTATAATGTGGTATGAGATACCATCTCACAAAGCAGAGCTGGGCCTGAAAGCTCATCCAGGCCCTGGCAGGCTCAACCCTTCCTCTGTCATTCCTGACAGATGTTAGTCTAACCACTTCTTGCATTTTCCACCGGGAATAAACAACCGGAATGCATATTCAGTTAAATACCCTCGAGCTGTGTACATGAACAGTGTATGACCTGCAGAGTTGGCATGTCACGCTAAGAGCATATAAATCACAAAGATTTAGCACTAAGATACCCATTATCCACATTGGTTTGCTGGAGAAGTGAGATGATTATAAATAATTTCTTGAGTTATCCTGGATTGAATACCATAGGTGGTAATAGCAAACATCTAGAGAGCCAGCTGCCACTCTGCCTCTTGTCTAGCACCAAATGGTGAAGTGCCTAAGATGAAACTTGATAAACTTTCCCCTCTTGGATCTCCTGGAGATTGAAGAGGGTGAAATCTCCCGTCCCATGGCTCCTGGTTTGCAGGGAAGGAACGCAGATGGCCATGGGGGCAGGGGGAGGGAGGGGGGGTGACGACTTCCTCCCTTAAGAAGACTCCCTTTTCTTATTGTTTCGCCTGTGCAGTGTTATCAGATGGAATTCCAGCGTCCAACCTGGCCCCGCTCCTGTTCTTAAACTCTCCCGTTTGAAAGCCGTTTGCGTAACAAACTTCTCTTCAATACAACATTTGTGTTCGCAGAGTTGCCTCTGGAATTTCTCACCCACTCGCAGCTCCACGTTTTGGGCTGTGGGTGGATCTGAGTGGCTGCTAAGTGCATGACCCAGCAGACAATGTAAATCTTGACTGCATTAAGCCATTGGCAAGGAGACATTTCAGGCGGGTGCCAGGTTTCCTCCTTCCTCCACTGAAGGAGATATGCCATGCATCTAACAGAATGATGAGCTCATACCCTTAACTATTATTTATGTCTCCTGCCGTCTTCACCTTGAGCACATATGGGGCCATGTGAGAACAACTTGATCTCACTAGAAAGCTGTGATGGGATCCCCTGAGACAGCAGTTCTGTCTCCTCCAGCCTTCCAGCACGTTATGAAGAAATTTCTTGTAACTGAGAACCGGAGCTTTGCTCTGAAGCAAACAAAGAGGCATTGGAGGACCGGGCTGTTGTGTTCACATCTGCTTTTCTTAGAAACAGCTCCTTACTGAGCAACCTGCACCCAGAGCAAGAGGCTTGCAGGGAGGAGCTGGTGTTTACTCAGTGCTTGTTTGTTATCTTCCAGGTCCTTCGGAATTGCTCTGGCAGATGAGATCCAGCTACTTCCCTATTCTCCCTTGGAGGCTTCAGAGGAAGGTGTGAGGTTGAACAATTTACACAACAGCAGACAGCAGGAGACTGTGCCCTCATCCACAAAGAAGCCGACTTCTTTTTGCCTATAGACACAAAGGTTTTGATCTCCCACTTCAAACTCTTGTTCCTGTTGATGTTCCCATTATCCTCAGAGAAGAATATCCTGTGTGAAGACCACAGAGTCCCTCCTTCCAACACTCTTCTGAACTGAGCTCTGAATTGTGCTTTCAGTAGGAGAAAGTGCTCGTGTTTCACTTGGGATTTGTGACCATTTCTTTACTTTAAGCTGTCCTTGTTTCCAGAGGGCAGATAAAAGCACCTGAATTACTCTTTCTACACTACTCATTGAGTCTGATGAGCAGTCCAAGCAAACCAAGTGGCAGTCACACGCATGGCTTGGTTCTGCTCTCTGTTACCAACATTCCCTTGTCATCCTTCCAGTTTAGTTTCTTTACCATCCCCTGTAAAACCTAAACTTACAGCGAGCAAACCAACATTGACTGCTCAAAGATACTACTCTCATTTCTACAAGTCACATCTCCCGGTGTTCTGAAATGCTTTGGCAGCCACACAGAGGATTCTGTTACGGATCTTTTTTTCCCAGAATCGAGCTCGGCTTCACGCCACACTAATGCAAGAAGTATTCCCATGATCCTGAGGTGATGTGGTGAGCTGGTGAGGCAGTAGGCACTTTATGTCTTTCCAAAGATAGCACTTGGAAGGCAGGCAAAGTGTTCTACATGGGTACATTCAGAGTCTGCACTAAAAGGGAGGCACCAGGAGGAATCGTGTGCTTCAGTGAAACAAGCAGGAAGCTGGAAAAGAGTTTTTACTATTAAGAGATTACACCATTGCAAATTGAATTGTAGAGCAGACAGAGGAGCATGGCTGAGAGCAGGATGTTTCCTTCCACAGCCGCCTGTCGAATCCAACTGCAGAGAATTTGGTTACATTCTATACATAAAGTAGCAGGAAAAAGTTCTCTTTCAAGATCTCGTGGTTCAGCTTCAGAGATGTGCTGGAAGGGTCACAGGGAACAGATTTACATCCATACAAACCCCATCCAAACAGGTTTGTAGACATTTCCTTAACGTTCACATATAACAAAACAGCTACAGGGAAGGCAACAATACCTGGTGTGAAATGGCACCACGCCCAGGCCTTGTCCTGCTCTCTCCTCCTATTGCAGAAACACAAAGCAGCAGATTTTCATGCTGAAAGTAGTTAAAAAAAAGAGAGAAGGCTCTAAGGGTGAAGGAGAATTTCATGCGGTTTTCCTAGGAGGCTTCCCACAGTCAACCACTTGCCTACTCCTCCTGTTCACATCCCAGTGCAAAACCAACCCTCTGCTATTTCCATGCCTTAGGACAGTTGTCTACTTGCAAGTTAAAGGCTCAATTTTCATACCAAAGGTAATAAGAAAACTCTAAGGGTGAAGGAGAATTCATTGGGGGAGCTGGGGGTGGTGGTGTTGCAGATACAGTTGTTGCCTGAAAACCCAACATACAGTCAGACAAACCAGCTGAAAACCAGCTGAGCATCTGGCCTGGAATGGAGGGTGCTGTGCTGGTTGTTCACAGACATGTTTCTAGGTTAATGCTACCAACAGAAGTGGGAAGGAGAGGATCTCTCCTCCCTCCTTGTCTGTGCAGCCCCACACAAAGCAGAGGAAGGCTGCTCCAAGCAGCATGGGGTGGCTGCCACAGCCTGCTCAACCCATGGGCTTGCATGTGGAGAGAATATATGCACATCCAAGGACCAAACCTGACCCCCTTCCATGATACATGCCCTGGTTTTCCTAAGAAATAGCAAGTAGATGCTTTTGGCATAAGCTTTCACCATCTGAGAACCCCAAAACATGCAAAATTCAGGTCCAGACATACTAACTGAACTGCAGGGCAAGCTTTCCTCTTCCAAACCTCAGGGAAATTCATACATTCCTTCTAAATCCAGTTGTAAACCACTGTCCTTAAGGCACTAATACTGAATGCAAGTATTGATACTGCCAAAGAGTAAAACTGCATCTGAAAGAGGATCACATGTTTATACATAACCCCAGGCCACAGTGAGGGGGAGAGAAGGATGTAGTTAAAGCAAACTTTGAGACACATCTGATTACAAACATCAGCAAGCAGATGTAACACACTTTGTAGTGCATTTTCAAAGCATTATGAATGGAAGATACACATCCAAACTATCCACCTCAGCTAAAAGGGTAAATCCTGCTTGAGGTCCTGCAGCGTTAACGCAGTGTGGCTCCAGTGGCTGCAGAGGAAGGCTGCAGCCCCCAAGCAGAGGAGCCAGGCATGGACTGGCTGGGGGCCTGCACAAACAGCCAGGAAAGAGGTCGTTTTATCAGAAGCCATAAACCAGTTTCTGGCTAATTGTGTGACGGGCCTGGGTGTGAAACAGCAACGGCAGCGCCCTCGGGACCCATCCCAGAACCTTTGATTTCCTTTATAAAACCTTTGGAAAGCTTTTCCTCGAGCAACTTTTCTGTTTTCCATTGTAAACTGCAGACACTGCTCTGGTGCTGCCCTCCTGCAGCCCCCCCCAGCCTTGCTCCTCGCTCCAGCTTTACCCTTTGTCTCACAGTCAGAGGCTGATTTCAGGTTGTGCAGCTGAACCAGCAGCTGTTTCCAAGCAGAAAGCACATTCTGTGTTCACTTTATGGAACGTTCAGTGCTGAAGCAGATGAAATTGTACCTGCCCTACAAATGAATTCTAAAACTCCTCTGTGAAACTCTACCTAAAGTTGAAATACTCAACTGAAAAATGACAAAGTTGTGTTACTGGAGCTCAGTTTGGAAAGAGAAACAAAAGTTCAGGAGTCTGTGGGATGCTCCTGTGCCTACTCACCATTAAAATGCAGAGGAGAATCTAAGCTGTCTCTGTAAAAAACTAACTCCAAGGGAGAGATGTCTGTGTGATATATAGATGCTCCCAGGTGAAACTCAAGATAGCTGAGCCCTCTGTGGAAGGCAAGGCTGACCTGACGTGCCAACACACCCAGGACAGACTCTGGATTTATTCAGCCACATTCACTTTTCCTGGTGCTCGAGTCACAAGCGATGAAATCTCAGTCATTTATGCGAGCAACTGGAAGATTTATTGTAAATAAAGTTCTACACATTACACAACTGGCTAAAAATCATAATTAGAGTTGCACTGGGGAACATGTTTTATTTCTTCTGACAGCAGTCTGGCTTCAATAAGCCCAGCATGATAAATGGCCCAAAAGTTTGCGGAGTTTCGGCAACTAAAGACCTTATCACAGCCATGGAAGTGGAAACGTCTGACAAGGTTTGATGTGGCTTGAGAGAGGTCCCGAGCACTTCTCCTGCACAGCATCACTTTCCAGCAGCACCAGGGCACAAGGAGCTGGAGGCAGCTCCTGCATTCCCTGTAAATCAAAGGGATTTTCCGCTGCTGTTCAACTTCCCAGACCCCGGTGCGAGCGCGAGGACACGTCTGCGGGAATTAGCGCGGTTCTAGGATAGGGAGGAATGACAGTCGGACTGCCGAGCCGACAGACCCTCTGGAAGAGGGTCAATGACACCATTAATAGGATGCAGACATTCCCAATCTCCGGCTGGTCTGCGCCCTGCCAAAAGCTCCAGTGCTTGCTTGCTTTATAGTTTTAAGTACAATTTCAGGCCCATAAAACATCAGAGAAGACAGAAGCTATTATCCTGGCCATGACAGGAGTCCCTAATGGGACATGCATACTCTGCACATACCTAGAACTAGTGATGCTGGGCTTTTACTGCTCCCCATCTGTTCAAGGGTATTTTAGAATGTACCAAATCAGTTTACCCCAATAACATTTATTGCTGCCCTGAGACTACTGACTGACTCTGAGTGCAATCAGACATTTATCTGCCTTTACTCACTCTGAAGAGAGCAGCCCAGACCCCTTGTCATGTGGGGCATCCTCTGAAGGGTTCTCTCCAACCCAGCCACAGAGCTGGAGGTATTTATGTGAAACCCCTCTTTCCTTAGAGCTAAAGAACCAAACCCAGTTGCTGTCCAACTAACAGAGAGGTTCTGAACAGACCAGCCCAGAGCCACGTACCTCAGAGGGCAAAACAAACTTTATTATCAATGGGGATGATACACACGAGTATTTCAGTCAGTCTCTGCTAAATTTAGAACAGCTAGAATATTTCCAGCTAACATTATGAAAAATAATTATTTATATTGCTATAAAAAGAACATTCCAGTAGCAGGGAGAGGTGGTAAGCAGCAATGCTCTGCCACAATGGTGAAGGAATCTGGAAGCCTTTCCCAGCTCCTGCTCCACAGTGCCAGGGACTGGGAATGCTCGTTCCAGGCTGGTTTGCTGCACAGCAGGTGACAGTTGGTCTGTTTATTCAGTACAGTTCCAGAACAGCTCTGGGAATCCTCCCATCTCCAGAGCCACCATTCCGACAGGAATGATACAGAGGTTAGGTTTTGTTTTGCAAGGCTGACCTTAACATTGAGCCCAAACACGCTGCTTCGTCGTTCTCAAGGACCTTTCCTTTTCCTCCCTTTACCCCCCGACACACACACACATACCTCAGAAGCAGTTTCCTTGTGAAGAGATGCCCCCTCCGGTCACCGCGGGGTTCTCTGGTTCTGATGTGGCTCATGAGCACTAGAGCTGCCCGTTCTGTGAGAGAACCCCCAAAGCATCAACTGCTGCCACAGGAATCCTTCGGATAAGAAAAATTAAATGAAATAGAGAAGAATACTCAAGGATTTCAGCAGGGCAATGATGAAGGAATGACACACTCAGAAGAGGATTAATCATATTTGACCAACAGGAAAGCGCGTAACCTCCCATTTGTTACTACCTTAAAAAAATAACCCTTTTAATAAACATATGGAAGCATTGAAACGAAGGAAAATGCGTTATTTTGTAACTTTGAGGCTTGTATCGAGTTACATTTCATCCCTTCAAAACTTGCTTGATCTGCCAAGGCTGTTGTGCAGCGTTTCTCGCTTCTGCGCCAGACCGAACGAACAGAGAATGGAGTGAATTAACTGCCTGAGAGCTGGAGCACAGCCTCCAGCATACAACAATGAGCACCTTCCATGGATTTATTATTGCAAACCAGCAGACAGATAAGAGCAGATGAAACTATGCATTGGTTTATCCTACATTTAGACTCTAAACCAAGAGAGGATGTCTCCTCCCCGCACCATAGCCAAAGGTGCTTTGATTTCATTACTGTCTTTGTGTGAATCTGAGGTATGGAGCTCATGCTTTACACAGGCCTGCTCAAGCAAAACAGACATTACATACTTGTCTCTAAAGGGTTACAGCACAGTATTTATTCAACAGCAGAATGCAAGTTTGTCTAAAAAGAAGGCTGCATACATTGAAATCAAACTTGTTCGGGTACAAACACAGCCCTTGGAACAGAAAACTTCATAAAAGGAGAAACCTTCCATTTATTAATTGGTCAAATGAATTAGAAAAAATGGCTTGGAGGAACCAAATTCTGTGCAGCAAACACAGATCTCACAAAAATGACAAGAGTCCTCTTCAAATTAATCTCATTTAAAATATCCACTGGCAACAAGAACAACAAACCCCATTCCACTTTGACTTCCATCACGTTACGATGCCGAGTAGCTTATTGACAAGTCAAGGGAGAAAACCTTCAAGCTTCTGAGGAAGTAGCACCCACCCCTTTTCCTGTACAAAAGGAGTTTGGATGAGCACGTATTGGTGGCAAGGCAAACGCAGCAGGACCCAAACCAGAGCCTCTGGGTGTTCCCTGAGGCTCAGCCCAGCCGAGCAGCCACAGCTCTTATTGCCAGGGCAGCCAAATTCTTGGCACTCGTAAGGAAAAGAATCCTGCTCATTTGTACATAATCCAGCTATTGACATGGCTTTAGTGTGGCAAACGCTGAATCCCCCAAGGTAAGGGAGAACTTCTGGACTAGAGGATCGTGCTGCTGTCTGGAGGGGGTGAGGAAGGGATCTGGAATCGCAGTGTGATCCAAGCAGTGAAGAACCAACGGAGACCAGAGGTGTGCAAGGCTAAGTATTCCCCTTTGAAAAGGGGAAAGAAACCCCAAAAAGTCACCTTTGAAAAGCAAGAATCTGCTTTCCTGATCCAAGCACCTGAGCTCCTGGAGCTCCCACTGTCCCGTTATTGCTTCTGGAGGTCAGTGTGTTTTACAGCTTTTGGTTTGTTTGTTTGCTAATAAAAAACAAAGAAGCGACATCCATGTTTGGAGCTATTAATACAAAAATCACACCTGAACTCTGTTGAACATCCCCCAGTCCCCAGTGCCCCCTGAGCTGGCCATGGTTTGCAATGTGGAATATTGTTACAAATATGAAAAGTTGGCAAAACGCACCCCCCATCCAACCAGGAAAAAAAAAGGAAGAGAAAAGCTTTTTCCAGCTGTAACATCTGTTAAGTCTAACTAGCTGACAAGTGCTTCTGATGGAACACGCTTGCCAGAACACTACAGAAGAGGAGGAGGGACTTTATGGAGGAGGGAACACAAGCTATTTTTCTCCTTCCCTCACCCACAAAACGCACAATACCATTTGCAAACAACAAAGGAACACCACAGCATCTGATCACATGCAACACGAGGCGATTTCACAGGCTGACGCCGTCGCACGGAGTTATCTCTGGGTCATTCCCTGCGGCAGGATAACGGGAGCACATGCTATCCCAGCAAAAGACTCTGGGAAATGTAGGTCCCTTTCCCATTCATCAGTTTCGGTGTTATACACCTGCACGATGCTGGTGACATTGTTCAGATGCCAATTGTACCCTCCTACAATATAAATCTTTTTTTCTAGTAAACAACAGCCTGCTTCCGACTGCCCCGCGCGCATCGGGCTCACTGTGGTCCATTGGTCTGTTTCAGGCACATAATATTCCACAGCCAAAACATCAAAACAACGGTCAACATGGTCCATGCGGCCTCCCAAAGCATAAATCCTGCTATTTGCACTGACCATGGCATGCAGAACTCTGGGCTCATTCATCGGGGTTTTAAACTCCCACTGATCCACGGTGGGGTCGTAGCAGTGCAGGGCTTTCTTGTCTTCCACCGAGATGCCGTACCCACCTGAGATGTACAGCTTGCCTCCTACCGTGGCTCCCGCGTGCCCCCACGTCCTGCGTTTCAGGGAGCACACATAGGTCCACTCATTATTTTGGGGGCAGTACTTCTCCACAGAGGCCAAGCTCCCCGAGCGGTTCCTCCCACCGGTGGCGTACACCATGCCGTGCAGGACGTTGAGCTGGAACTGGATCCTGCTCTCCTGCATGGCCTGGATGCGCAGCCACTGGTTCAGGTGCGGATCGTAGCGGTAGCAGATGTCCACAGCTCCCTCCCCGCTCCGGTACTGCAGGTGCTGCCCTCCAACGATGTAGACGAAGTTGTCGAGCACGGCCACGCAGGAGTGGCTGCTGCCTACCTCCATCTCCGTCAGCTCCTTGAACTGCCGCACGCTGGCATCCGGCAGGTAGTAGACCTTGCAGCTCACAGTGCGGTCGTTATCAGTGTAGGGAGTGCCACCGAAGGTGATGAGGGACAGGACATCCGAGCGGATGGTGGTGCGAGGGGACTGCATCTCATGCTGCCGGAAGGGCAGGATCTGGTAGTTAAACGCCTCCAGCAGATACTGCCGGCACAAGACATCTTCCACCATGATGTCCAAGGTCTGGACGCTGTCCACCAGCTCCGAGGACTTCATCAGCGGGAAGCGGATGTGGCAGAGGACCTGGCTGGCGTTGGCACGGCGGGTTGGGTCATACTGCAGCCACCGGACAGCAGCACGGAAGAGATCTATTTCACTGCAGCTTTTCAGCTTATTGCTCTGCAAGAAGAAAACAAGGCGCTCCAGGGGCAGGTGGAGGAAATCCTCTTCCTCAGAGATCTGGAGGAAATGCCTGAAAGTGAATGCATCTACTGATTCCTTCAAGGATGCGAGGCTGAAGGTGGTGGCCATCTGCCCGATATTGAGACACGTTTCTACGCTCATGGCAGACTTCAGGAACTCTTCGCAGAGCTCCACGACAGGCACCATCTGGAGGAAGACAGCAGCTCCCAGCACATCCTGAATGCAGTCAAGATCAAGAGTCACTTCGGCGCTGTACGCGAAGTCTATAATGTGCTTCAGTCCTTTTGCAGATAGACCTTTCAGTTCAATCACATCTTGGCTGGCTTCTCTCATCCCGCCTGCAAACATTGCCCTGGGGGTCAAGAACACAAAGATTTCAACCCTTTTAAATACAGGTAAAATGATGCATCGCTTCAGAATTGTATTTTATTCTTTTAAACCATACTGATTCCCTCAGGGAGGATGGGGAGGAAGGGGAATAAATCAAGGCTAAATCTCTAAAAGGCAGGAGGAATTAACAGTATGCAGTTTCTTACATAAAGCTTGCATAAACACTGCACTGAGACGTAATATTCAGCTATCAGAAAGTTAAGGTTTTCAATCCTGTGGCAACATAATTAAGAGTGGACCACAGGACACAGCTTCAAGAAGTGGGTAGAACTACCAGAGCAGGGAGTGCAATACACTGGACACCAAGGGATCCATAATACTCAACAACCAAATGAGACCACAGGATCTGCACCAGCAGAGGTTGGTAACCAGACCCTATAGAGTTCCAGTGTTCAGGAGTCTGAGCACAAAGAAGGAATAACCTGTGTTTAGGAGGTCAGCGCCCCTTCTGAGCTTGCCTGCAGCACTGCTATCACTTAGCCTGTTCTATCCTAGGCTGGCTATGAAATCCAGCTATTGCAGATGCAACACATCTAATGGTAATCACAAGAGAACCTCCCCTCCAGAGTTCAACCCCAGCGCCTTAAGTAAATAGGGAAATAGGAGTTGCAGCCACTTCAGAATCCTCTGTCATGTTGCAGCACGACGGCAGGGGGCTAGCAGGCAATTAGAAAACAAGGAGAAAAACAAGATTCTGTTCGAGCACAGCTGCAAGCACATCAGTTGACCAGGCCACGCAGAGATTAGGCCCGAGATCACCTCCTTGGGAGGCTTCTAAATTCCACAGGAAGCACATACCACGCCAGGGCCTGACGCAGACATCTCATAAACCATGCTGCTGGAGCAGTGCTGCGTTTCCCAGCACCGGGGCCTGCGGGCGTGATGGGGACACAACTGCACATTGGGATTTAATACAGTGACATTCAATTTCAGCTGGTTTTGTTACAGATGGGTAGCTGGGGGCAACGGTTGTGCTCTGGGTAGCATTGGACAAGCAGTAGCAGAGCAGTTCTGGGGCTGCTGGAAGACCAGCTCCAGGGAGCTGCAGCAGCCACTGCCATCGTGCACACACCACAGCAAGGCTGCAGGCTGTCACGCAAAGACCTTCTGAATTGTTGGCGTTTGCCTGCACATTTGGAACTGGGTTTTCCATCGACAGCCCACTCTCTCACATCAGAAAGGTAAATTCATTCTGAGGGCAGTGTCGTTATTGCTGCTTTAGGAAGCTGTAGTGACTCTAAGGTGTAAGTTAGGCAGAAGACATGCTGAACGGACCCTGCCCTTCTGCATCGATACAGGAATAAAGGAATATCTTGGGAACACTGTCACAAGACAGGAGTTCCAAGTTTCCTGTCCAAACCTGCTGCCGTCCAGAATAAACCCAAGAAATCCTAAATGACCTAAATGAGGAAATACCTGCATATGAAATCAGCTCCCCGTAACCGGGTGACCAGGAATCCTGTTCACAATTATTTGTCCATACAGCAGATGAGAGCGTTCTGCTAAAATCCCTCTGTGTATCCCCTGTCCCAGAACAGCACGCTGCCCTGATCCCTCACCCCAAGGGGTGTGCAGACACATGTGTGCTCCTGCATTAGCTACACAGAGCTGAGCATGCAGAAAGAGAAGCATTATTGTTGCCACGATGAAGACAAAGTGGAATGCAATTCCTTTAAGAAGCGTTACAGTTCTAAAATGCTGATTATTATATAAAGGCCTCAATTTCACTCTTTTCCTCCCCTCCCTCTCTGCACAGAACCAGAGTATTTTCAAAAGCTAGATTATTCTGCCATTGTTCCCCAGGACAACCTTCCTTAGCACCACAGAAGTTATAACAAGAAACCTACTCAGCAATTACATTTTGACAGGGAAAACACACTAGCAGTGGCACTGCATACAGCATTTATGAATACAAATAGTGCTATTAGCATCTGGTGGGAGATCAGCTCCATGGTTAATTGCATGCCTGGTAGGGAGAGTGATAAGCTTGGAGGGTTTATGTTACCAAAGGGAGAGAGAAGGGAACAGCCTAGAAAATATGTGTGTACAGGAGATAGACATCATCAGAGCAGCTGAAGAAGTGGACCAAGGGATGCATGAGATACACCAAGGGACACTGAAGTCCCTTGCTTGTGATCACCTGCTCAGCACACACTTTCTGCTCAGGTCAGGAAGGAACCTACGTGGTGAGGGACTGCAAACCCCATTGAACAGCCCTTCTCCACTGTACCTGCTATGACCTGCAGTCTCAAACAACCCTCAGTTCTGAACCTTCCAGATACCCTTTGCCTCCAGCATGCCCCTCACTTGACACTGCTCCTGGTGCTGCCAAGAAAGGTCCCTATTCAACAGAGAAGTCATTCAATGCCAGAGAACCGTTACAAAAGAGCTTGACAGAGGCAAGATGGATGAATACATATTTTTTGCTTAAGACCAAAGTTCCTGCTCTGCCATTGTCTCACTCTGCATTAATTGCTGAGAACACTCATCTCTGTGCTTCAGTTTTCTACCCACACAAGATGGGACAACTCTCCTCTATCTCCTGGAGCTCTGGAGAACGCACACCCAAAACATTTCACACCCCTCAGCCTGTGAACAGTAATCACTGTGGACAGGTCAGTGGTATTTAAAGACAACAGGAGTGTATTTACAGCGGGCACCATCATTCAATGGGATGACTCATTTCAGAGCCCTCTTGGAAATCACCTCAGGTAGCTCCAAGGCAAACGCTCCTTTCTTCAGCAGCACCTACCAGGAGGGTTCAGGACCCGGGCTTGAACTTGCATCTTGGCCCAGCGGCTGCAGCTGAACACACCTCCTCTGCATGCAGAGGAACTGGCTCCATGTGCCCGCAGGTAATCCCACCGACCTCCGTGGGGCAAAGCAGACCCCCAAAGGGTTGTGCACGGGGGTGATTTTGAGGTGTGGTGGGAAGGGTTGGGGTGGGGGAGGATGGGGAAACAGAAAACCAATGGGAAAGGTAGAAATGCCTGCTTCCCTGTCAGATTCTCACCTGAAATAGTCACTGCAGGCAGCCAAGACAACTTTATGAACCTGAAACACTTCATTATTTATAGTGAGGATGACATCAAGCAGCTGAGCCTGAGCTCGGAGCGAGGCCAGTCCCTGCAGTAGAGTGGTGCTGTGGCCAGGAGCAGAGAACGTGCATTTCAGGGTGCTGTTCTTGTCAGCCATGCTAAAAACAGAACAAGAGAGACAGGCTGGTTTTAAATTAAAACAATATGTGGTATACCTACAAAGCATGCTGGGGAAGCTCTGTAACGTGGAGCAGTTTGAACACAAATTCCCAGCTCAACAGCCACACAGAACATCATGACATCAGTACCTCAGTTGTATTCCCTTCTCCCAGCACAAAAGAGACTTCCAGGTTTTTACATTACCCTTTCCCATCAGTGACAACCCATCACGCTGCAGCACACGTGGCCTTCAGAGACCCTCCAGACACCAGCCAGCGAGGCCAAAACCTCCAACGGACATCGGTGTCCCCACTCTACAACTACCCCAGAGCCCACCCTGGCCCTGACTTCAACCACCAGACTGAGTCACAGTTGCTTATTCTTCTCAGCACCTCTCCTGCCTGCAGCTGTTGGATACTCTGTGCTGTCCAAGGACAGCCCTGTTGGCCCTACTGGGTTCTGGCCTTATGCTGGACCCTCATGAGAAGAGCAAAAGCAAAGTATTACATAGCACTGGCTGCTCTAAATAACGTCAGCTGTTTGAACTGCACTGTAAACAGTCCCCTCCCAGAGTAAATATTTCCTTGGTTTTCCCAAAGCCTCTTGCACATGTTCCCCAGGGCAGAGCATCATTCTGGATCCACTCGGCCTCAGATGCACTTGTCAGTGAGAGGGCTGCCTTCGGAGGTGAACGTCAGCAGCATCTCTGCACAAGTGGAAGAGATCTGTTGGATGCTCTGTGCTCCTCTGAAAATAAGAAGTTATGCTGCAGATTTCCCAAGCAAGGGAACAATGAGTTAACCTGCCCTGCCCAAAATGGGCACCCCACCAAGCAGGGCCCATTCACACCCACAGAAGTATGAAATCCTAAATTCATTGGCAAATTTGGTCCAACTCTGAACTACTTTTCAGGATCAAGATCCAAGGAAGAAAACACACACAAGCACCAGTATTCAGAATGGGGTTGATGGTTTTGGATGCATCCTGCTATTTGCTTGCTGCATTTTAGGAAATATTTTATGGAAGCATGACACAAATAATCCCAAACAGATCATTCCGAATCTGGAAAGCTGCATTACTTGATCCCAAGTCCACAGTGAGCGAGTGAGCTTAGTGCTGCACTTAAAGGGTATTACTACTATTATTATTATTATTATTACTACTATTATTATTATTATTACTACTATTATTATAGGTAGAATATACCAACAAACCCAAATAAAATAGCACAGAGCCTGAGTCCCCACATGCTCGGGGCTGTATGATCCCATCACATGCTACCAACCGTCCCTAAAAGTTCACCACCTAAACAACAACAAAAGCCACACAATGGACAACACAAGTAGGGGAGGTCAGAGAAGAGTCAGGGAGATGGGATAACAAAAAAAGGGGATGTAAACAATCCTCAAACAATAGGGAACAATGGACAGGACTTGCTGCTTGCCCAACTTATCGGATTGTCATTTCCTGCAAGCTTTAAGAAGAGGCGGGTTAGGGGAAATCTGCGATGTTCATCAGAGCACCCAGAGGGCAGGCGCTTTGTGTGAGCACCTCCAGAGCTCTCTGGGATGCTGCAGGATGCAGATAGTGAATCTCTGCAGCCTGTTTCAAAACTCAGGCTTGAGGACGTGCCTCAGAATTCATACTGGGATGCCTGGTACCAGGCACTGTGCTTCTGGTAGCACAGATCTGAAACTCCTGCCTTCAAGTCAAAGCATACTAACAAGTCTTAGTTCAGAAATTGGAGCCCAGCTGTAACATCCTTCCTATAATGAAAAGGATTAGCAAAAAGTCAGTTGCTGACAAGACCTTTATCCATGACTCCGTGAGCCAAGAAGTGACTATCCACTCCAGCTCTTCCATGGTGAAAGAGGAAAGGGATTGGAAGGAATGAACTCATGAATATTCATCACGTCAAACTCATTTTACTCTCCTCACTGGAACAATGGCTTTGATTCGCTGGAGTGAGAGGAGGAAACACGGAGCCTGAGCGTGGAAAAGATCTTGCCTCTGAGCACAGTATCATTCACTGAGCAAACCCGTTCTGCTGCATGCTGGACACAGGCAGCTCCGGAGCTCACCCGGAGATGGTGACTCCTGAGTTCACCATAACAGCATTAGACTCCATCTCCCAAAGGATTCTTCAGCACTTTTCTCATACCCATTTGAAATATTCCTGTTCCCAACGCAAGGGCTTACCCATACAGGATTGCTTCCACCAGACCCACAACCCTCCCAGTGCAGGTTCCTCTTCAGACAACTTGACCCGAACAAGTAGTCCTCTGTTGAGCTTTTTCCCATTACGTTTTACAAGCATTGTTAAGAACCATAGTGTAAGTTTAAAATAGATGGAGGACTAAATGTGGCCGGGTGGATATTTCTGTGCTGGAATAAACATGTTTGCATGTGTGATTCATTTCAATAGGTAATTGTGAACAGCTACCCCAGAAAAACTCCCTGCACTAGTTCCTTTGTCTGTTTACAGGTATAAAATAAAAGGATCCAAGGATTACAGAATCCTCCAGGGGGGAAAAGCCCAAGAAGCAAAGCATTAATAATGTTCAGTGTTCAGTCTGGAAAACAAAAAGAATTTTTAGAAGAAACACAAAAGGCAAATAAAATCCACACAAAGCTTGAGAAAGCAAGGAGGAAACTTTGCAAGAAACAATGTGGGAGAAGGAGAGGTGAGAAACCAGCAGCAAGCGCTCTGTGGAGGGTGGTTGGTAGAAAGGGGCTTGTGATAAAAGCAGGCTTGGCTCCGGCCGGGCTCTGTGCCACAGGGTACATGCGCTCTGCTGCACGGCTTTGCTTCCCGCTCCTTTGGGAAGGCAGGAAGAAGAGCAGAAGCAGTTGGATGTCAGAGACTTAACAGAAATAAAGCACAAAGGGAAGCCTTGAACATGTGAAAGCGCCTTTGTGTGGCTGTCCCTATCTCACTCGGGATCTGGATATGCCGTGTACTTGTTGCTTAACAGCCTGTTCCAGCAGACAAACTTTGGGAAGAGTCGCATGGACTCCTCAGCAGTTCAAGATAAAAGCCTTCCATCACACAATAGTGGCAAAGTGTTTATTCCGCTCCTTCCCTTTCTGATGGAGAGCTTCTGGAATTTTCCTCGGGAGTTGGTCTTTGTCCTCAAAAGGACAGCACTGAGAGGAGCCCCTCCCCTGCGATGGAGCTGTGTGGAGTTTTCTGTGGCTGGAGCATCCTTTGGCAGGGACTGAGCACGCCAGCTTGGAGCAGGGTCCAGTGTGTCTGCCTGCATCCAGGCAAATCTACCCTTCGAAAAGTGTAAAGCATAAAAATCATTCACATCAAGCTGCATTTCCACTGCACATCTTGTAGGATTCACAGGGAAGGGGATCTGAAAATGTTTACATGATCAGGGCCTCTAACGTGAACATAGTGGTATAAAGGTGACTTTACAGGAACAGAAATCCCACTGTCCACATGGAAATCACTGTAGCAGTGAAAGGTGTCTTTATATTCACTGCATCCATCACATGAACGGTGAGGGCAGCTGGAATTCAACAGGCACATAGATTCCAAAGGGTGATGCGTTTTGGGCAGCAGCTTCAAAGACCGGTAGCATCACTGTTACCCGATTTTCAAAAAGGGACTACCAGGAATCAAGTAATGGGATTGGGGATTTGTCTCCAAGCTGCTGCTCTGAAGCCAGATTGCTTTCAATCCTCTCCAGTCGCTGCAGGGTAAGAGTTCATTCAGCACGGTGTATGTGACCTCAGCTTGAGGAAAACCAACCCAAATCCATACACACACTGCAGGCTTGTGCAAATGTTAAAGCAAGGGTTAAAGGAGTGACAGAGAGCAGGCAGGGGAGGCAAACAAGGCCAGAAATTCTCCTTCTGCTGCTCACCTATTGCAGCAGCTTGGCCATGTGCTCATCCTTGCCCCGAGCACACTGACCACATCCTTAGCTGGCATGTTCTGAGCCAGGGCTGCTTGAGTTCTGACCAGAAACAGATGCAGAGAGGAGGCAGGGTTGAATGCCCGAGAGGCCTCTAAAGCTGATGGGCTGAGAGGTGTTGAAGGGCCATACTACAAGAATCAGTTCAGATGAGGCACAAAGAACATCCCAAAGAAGAACCATCCCCTGCCTCTGCCTCCTGGATCCCCCACAACAACACGTGTCATCCCAGATGCGTTTCAAGCTAATGAATCATTTTTACCAAATCTGTCCTGATGATTAAAAACATCAAAGCTGGAATTAAAGGCTTACCAAGCATGAGTTCGTATTTCAGCATGTTTGCAACTACTGCACAAGCACAAATGGAGAGAATTACACCAGGCCAGATGAGAACCTTTCAGTGATTGAATTCCTTGCCTGTCCTCTTCCTCCTGGCATAATGTGGTCCTCCTTGGAGGGAGGGATGGGTCAGTGCTAGCATGGCTGGCTCTCCATCCCAGCTCAGCATCCCTGCCAGCATCCAGCCATGTGTTCCCACTCTCCAGACAGGTGGTGCTCGGTCATTTCTCACACAGGAGAGACTCAGGGGCTGGCAGGGTTTCCAACAGGGCAAACTTCCAGCAGCAGCCTCTGCAGTAAACACAGGCTCTAAAGGTAGGACCCCATGGGGCATGGCTGGGGTGCAGAAGAGGAGGGAGGGAAAGCAGCAGTGTGTGCGTGTTCACATGCACGGCGCACGGAGTGCCACAGCTTTTCTGGGGAGAAACAAAGGATTTGGGATTGCAAAACAGCCAGCAAGGCACCTGCGGAGCGCTTGAGCCTGCAGGAGATTTCCTATGGTGAAAGCTGCGGAACTAACGTAAAGCTGAAGAGCAACTTTATTTAGCACATAGGGTATGAATATTAAGGGCCTTCTTTAAGAACCTTGAAAGGCAGCATTATAGATATTTTAATAATGCAAATCATTTAATGCCTTTAGTTTCATGCCTAAGTAAAAAACACATTCAGATTCTGATTTTTAAACTACAATCAAGACACTTAAAATCAAAACAAAAGTCAAACTCCCTCAGATAAGTCACTGGTAGCCATGGTTACTGTAATATTTCAGATCCTGAGGCTTTGTATCACATGCCCAAATGATGAAAATGAGTTCCCAGCACCTCACACTAACGAACATTACGGGAGTTGGAAAAGGCCAAGCTCTTTGCTGCAGATCTGCTGCTTCACAGCCTCTTCCCAGGAGCTCCGGACATGGTCCCGTGGCCTTTGCACCCCCTTAGGAGGTTTCCTTGAAGTCTGGGTGCAAGGAAGAGCAGATGCTGCCAGGCAATGAGACTTAAAATACCTGCCCTCGTAACCTACTTACAGCCCAGCAGCACGACTGGCACCAGCACCCCCTCAGAAACATTCACCATCGCTTCCCCATCCAAATTAGCACCAACAATAACCCCTTAATGCTGAGCAGCTAATTAAATATTAACACATGGAGTGAAGGGGATGTTTTCTAGAGAAACATCATCATCCTGAGGGAAGACATGTGAGCAAAACCATGTAATCGAGTTCTTTGTTCCCTTTTCCACCTCCTTCCCTTAATTTCTCCTTTTTTCTCCTCTGCCTCCCCTCATTTTCCTCTCTTGACACCCTCTCTTTCATCCAAGGCAATAAATACAAGTAAAAAGCCTGAGACTAATATCTCTATCTAAAAGTGACTAAAGCAATTTGGAGCGCTCAAATAAAGAGATTATAAATGGGCCTGAGTTTTAGAAGGAGCAACACTTTGTGGGGGAAAAAGCAGTCTATAAAATGCCTGAAGCGGAACAGTGAAGTTTGAAAAGTCTCCGCTTTTGTCTTTTAACACTTTGAGTCTCAAAACTTCAGGAGAGTTATGTGCCCACCAAACCAATCCTTTGTATCTCTATTACAGGTCTGCTCCTCTCACACAGAAGGAAGTGATGTCTCAGAAGATGGACTGGGATGGGACTGGGCACCACAGGGCTCCCACACCCTCCGCTGCCTGATTCAGCCTTGCCTTAGTGAACCAGCAATGAAAGCCACGTCTCACAGAAGCCAGGAGGTACCTTAATGCTTCGGGTTTAAGTGCTTTCTGAATCAGGTCCTACTAATCCCGCTATTTGCTTATCTGCCTCCTACTTCTCCCAGGCTGGCACCAAGGCAACCCTGTAGCCAAAGGTAAGAGAGCGAGGTGAAGCAAGAGGCTTTTCAATTGAGTTTTTCCTTAAATATTACTTTCTGGTCCCCCCCCAGAAGTCCCAGACACGTTTCCAAATCCCTGTTTTCCTTTCTCTGAGCTGGACTCACACAGGGCTCAGCAGACACACACACACACAAACACATTCTGCTCCCAGGCTTCAATGGGAGGTTGTTTGCAAGCCAAAGGAGGTAGGAATTTGGTTTCTGCTGAAAGCACTAATGAAGCTGGATGTGTGTCAGAAGCTGGCCTTGTCAAACAGAGCACTGGAGCAGCAAAAACGTGGAAGGTGAAATATCTGCACACATTAAGCTCTGTGCTACCTCATGGAGTTTCACGTGAGGGGCTGGTCAGTATGTGCTGTACCTGGGGCAAATTAGGGGGGGAAAGGGAAAAAGCATGGCAGGGGACTTGGATCTTAAGGTCCTTTCCAACCCTAACTATTCTATGATTTTAGGATTCTTAACAGTGTTCCTATTGCAGACCTAGAGCCATCGTGGTGCTGGTGCCAGGACAAAGGGAAGAGCAGTTTGGTCCTTTTCATTCAGCAGCTCTGAAGTAGGGGCTCTGTGAGCCCCGATGTGCACACTGCTACCAGCATTAGGGTTTTGGAGGGGCACAAAGCATCAGGCTGAGTACATCCTTTACCAGGAGCTGCCATTTCTCTCTATTCACACCCAGAGCTCCCACAGAGGATCTTGTCCTGTACAGGGGTTTTCCTGGTGCACTCTTCTGCCCCAAACCTCCTCCAGCAGCAGAGAGTGCAGCAGGCAACACACAGCACCCATCACTAACAACACCCTGCCCTGCCACAGCCTTTACAATGACTGAGGAGGGGAAGATGCTACCCACCCTTCAAACTTAACTGTGGTTATGTTCTTGTCAGCCCCAAACCTAAAGCCGCTGTGACAGGAACAAACTGAGCAGATAGAAAGATCACTCAGAGCATATAAATGACTATGGCAGCCACAGGGAGCATCACAGCAGCGAGGAGCTCAGCTGCCCGGTGCTGCTCCCAGCCACAGAGGACCTCTGAAAGGCCGGTGGGTTTTACACCATGTAAAATTTCCCTGTGTATCCATAGTACAAGCTCCTTCCACACTGGATGCTCCTGCTGGCAGCGCTGCCTCCACGTGTCTCCCACCTTACAGTGCCACCCGCCAGCCCCGGCTCTGGGAAGCGGGCAGTGACGGTGACGCTGGCCCAAAGCCGTGTGTGGAAAAAGCAGGACCAGCCTTTCCCAGGCGGAGCAGTGGCTCCGCGGGTGCTCCCGCAGCAGCACCCGTGGCAGAGCCGCTGAGCAAAGGCCGAGAGGCACCTAGTGGTGCCGGGAAGCACAGCAGAGCCACCAAGGCCACCCCAAGTGACACCGGGGCCAGCCCCAAGCGCTGCTAGCCTTCCAGGTACCACCCTGAGCTTCCCTCCACCCCGCTCCACCATCACCTTTTCACCTTCACAAACGAAGCTGATCCACGGCACCGCTACCACCGCTTTCACCCCAAAATCCACCAGGATCTATCTTGCCACTGTGACACGTTCCCACTTGGGATCACCCATTCCTGCCCTGCCAGCAGCTTCTAGCACGGCAGAGTTCCCCCCACCAAGCAAATCCCTCTGGGACCTTGTCCCACACCCCCATACCCTTCGCTCCACACCTTGGGACAGCTTCCCACTCAGAGTACGAGGAGCTCAGCGCAGCGTTTGTCCCAGCCTGGGTCTGTGGCACCCGCCTGCATCGCCTGGGCAGTGTCACAATAAAAACGACAGGAGTAGTTACATGCAGAGTAGGTACTCCAGCGTGCAGAGCACCGCACACGCCTCTCCTCTCCCTGCACCTCCACCCTCCAGATTGGTGCCTTGGAGCAGCAAGGGATGTTGAGCACAAACAACATGAAGTGATGAAACAGCAGAAACAAGACAACACCACTGTGCCACCAGCGCAGACTAAAGGAATCGTGTTTTCTAGCAGATGCAAGCAGCTGCCCAGCACTTGGCATCAGAACACCAGCTCCAATTCAGCTCCAGGATGAAACCTTCTCACCACCACAGCTGGTTTTAGCCCTTACCTAAATGGTCTGCACTTCCCTTCCAACAGGCTTGCAGTTCCCAGCTCCTTGGGCAGTTCAGTTCTGCAGCAGCTCCATGTCACCTCACCTGAACAGAATTAACCAAGACCCCCAGAAGTGCAGCAAAAGCTTTTCTTAAGGGCAGTGATTTCTGTGCAAGTTCAGCACTTCTCTTTCACATAAATGAGAAACTGGAAAAGACACCAGAGCCATCACCCCGTGATGCAGGGCTCTTCCTTCCAAAGCAGTGAACGCTACACAACACTTGGAGGTAAGGCCTTTAAAGAATCACCAACATTTACTTCTGGTCTAAATGAAACCTCCAGCTCAGAAGTTATTTTTACAGTGTAAACATCTACACCACGTCTACCAGCTCCAACAACTAAATCTGGTTTAAAATTGCCATGTGGCAGAGGGTGGAACGTAGAAACCGCACAACACTGAACTCCGAGCGGTTTCAGAAGGAAGAAAAGAAGTCTAATTGAAGAGTGAAGCTATGCAAGATCAGAGGAGCACAAAAGCAAAGCAGACTCACAGCCCTTATCATTATCTTCCCCTGATGGTTTTACTCCATCCTCCTGTACATTGCTGCTCTCCCACTGCTTGCTTTGGAAGGAATAAGGTCAGGGAGTTCAGCTCAACTTTCCCTTGCTGCGAACCCAGACATACATACTTCTAGATAAGGCAGACCTGCAGGTCTCCCTCCACCATTCATCCTGGGTTTGACAGTTGGGACTGCTTTCAACCAACACACCAGTGTAACCATATTAGAGAGGTTCTGAAACGTGTTTACACGCCCTGGCCGCCTTCCTGCCCATCTTCAAGGGATTACTGGAGACGTGCAGCTCTCCTCAGCAGCTTGTCTGGACAACCCTGATTAATTCCTGCTTAGAGGCCGGCCCCGTAACATCCTCACCAGCACCTGAGATGGTTTTCCTAGATCTCTGGCACCCTGCTTTGTACAACGCTCCTCCCCAGCATTGCAGCAGAGCTCGCACATCTTGTTGTCTAAAGCACTGAGGGCTTTCCTCACTGGGGGCACCCATGGCCCTGCCCGTTTCCTCTGTACTCACCAATCTCAAAGCCTGTCTCCAGGAGCAGCACTGTACTGCACAGGGAATTCTGCAGCCTAAAACTCTCCCTCTCTCTGATACGGAGAGCTGGGAGTAAAACATGAAACCCATTTGCAACTCAGGAAGTTCTGTCCATAAAGGAAAAAAGGGGAGATGGGAGGGAAGGCAAGTTTATTTCAAATGAGATTTAGGCTGTTTGCTTTCCAGCGCACAGCAATGGCCTTATCTCATGCCAGCAGTGTGTCAAGGGCCTTTTGAGCGTACCCTCTTGCACTCCTTATCGCAGGAGAGCGTGGGATGCCCGGCAGACACGCGGCTGTCCCTGCTCTGGAAGGCAGCACACGCACAGGAACCAGCATCAGCCATGCAGTAGCAATTCCAAAGATGGAAATTCTGCCCGTGCTGTCTGAGTGCACCACCGAAATGGCATGTGTGTAACAGCAGGAGAGGACTCTGTCCTTTTGCCATAGAGAGCAAACACTCACTAAGTGCAAAAAAGCCACAAGTGGAAGCACCTAACAAGGAATCACTGCTGACCCTTGCAATTCCCCTCTCGCCCTACACAGCCGATGCAGCGTCTCCAACATCCACCATCAGGTTTGTCCCCAGGACATCCCTCCTTTACAACAGACTAACAACCAGCAAGCAGCAGCATCCAAACTGCAGCGAGCTTTACTTTAAAACTCACAAAGAAAACAAACACACAGCGATAGGGAAGGCAACGGAGCTGCAGCTCGGGGAGCAGAGCTGCTGCAGCTCCACGCCGGGTGATTTATCACAGCCCTCAAACAAATTACTTTCGTTTCTCAGTGCTACACATCCAGTACCGAGGAGCTCCAGAGCGAGTGGCCCTGCACCCGTGTGAAGAGAGTGCTGCTGTTCCTGTTGCTGCTCCTGTGCTGAGCAGGGAGGAAAGGAGCTGCAGAGAGATAAAATGAAACACCCCAGGCAACAGCATACTGTTTACACAGGAGGTCATTAGGAAAAGGGAAATAAAATGTATATATAAATATATATACACATGGAGAAGGTGAGAACTCAGACAGGCTTCCCCGGTGCTCAGCAATGACTGTAAGAGCTTCCCTCTCCACAGCGTGACACCCAGGAGCAAACACAGAGTTAAACTGAGGCTAAACGATGCTCTGAGTGCAGGGCCAGGCTGACAGCACCGCATCCCGGTGCAGACAACACAGCTGAACACTGCCCAACACAGAACTGGGTGAGGACAGCCCTGGAACAGAACCTCCGCTGCCAACAGGTACCACCGATAGCACCCGCCCCAGTACCCAAAGGGTGAGCGGCCCTGCAGGAACCAGGGAACGGGGCTGATGGCGAGGGGCTGGGGTGGAACAGAAGGGGCCCAAACCACCAAAACCGCCGTGTTTCTGGGAATCTACAAACCCACTGCCTCTACAAACCCAACGCAGGTGGGGTCTGTGCAACTCACAGTAAAACCCCCTCAAACTCAGCCTTCCTCCTCATGAATTCCCTCACGGGAAGCGCTGTTATCCATTGTCACCGTTCAGTGCCTGCCCCATCCCTGGCAGTGCTCAAGGCCAGGTTGGACACAGGGGCTTGGAGCAAGCTGCTCCAGTGGAAGGGGTCCCAATGGCAGGGCTGGAGCTGGAGGAGCTTTACGGTCCCCTCAACACAACCCATGCCGTTGTTCCATGGCTCTCTCAGAGGCCCTCAGCAGCCGGGCCGAGCTCAGGGCACCCCCCCCGGCTCCCCTCCCCACACGACCCCGGCCGAGCGGCCTCGGCACCGACAAAGGCCACACAACTGAACCCAGCGGCGCTTGTGGGCGCTGGAGGAAGGCGGAGAAGCTCCGCGGCCGCCCCGGGCCCACCCGGCCCCGCCCCGGCGCTGGGACCCCCGGCACAGGCCTCACCCGGGCCGCGCTCACCTGCTCGGCGGCTCCGCGGCGAACTCGGCCCCGCCGGACTCCGCCATGTTCGCTGCGCGCCGCCGGGCCCCGGGCTGCGGGAGCCGCCGCGTTAAAGGCGCAGGAGCGAGAGGGGCCCTCGGCGGGGCCCGGTACCGCCACCGCCACCGGGGATGAGCGGCTCCGCTCCGCGCCCGCCGGGCCTGGCGCCGCCCCGCCGCCACCGCGGCCTGTCACCGCCCCGCGGCCACCGGCGCTGCGGGCCCGGCACCCCCTCATGCCTGGGGGGGCCCACAGGGGTCTGTGTTGCCCCGTGGCTGGGAGGGCTTGGGGGCCTGGCCCCATCCCTCAGCGGCTGTCGCCTCCCCACGGCTGAAGGGACTCGGGGGGGTTCTGTCATTGCCCCATGGCGGAGGGGGCCTGGGGTCCGTCCCCCCCCTCACGACTGCGGGGTCCCGGGGTCTGTCACCCCCCGATGGCCATGGGGTCGCTGAGCGGGTCCCTTCCCCACGGCTGACGGGACTTGGGGGGTGTCTGCCATCGCCCCATGGCTGAGGAGCTGCGGGGGTGTCAGTGCTGCGTGACCTGACCCCCATGGGCCTCCCCATGGCAGAGCCTCACAACCGGCGTTATCCAGCAGGGCCGATGGCCGTGTCCCACCCGTTCCCTCGGGATCTCGCTTGGGGCTCATCGTGTCCCGCAGGGACCATCGTGTGTGCAACCAGCGCTGGGCTGCGGGGACGGAGCCTCCAACGGCCCCGGTCTGGACCGGGTTTGCCTGCCCCGAGTGCTCCGTGCAGGAGCAGCAGTACCCTCCAGAGGGTGCAGTCCGGTCACCGCAGAGCCCCGCGCTCCGGCGCTGCCGCCTCGGTGCCAAAGCCGCCTTCGCCACCGCTCGTCCCCATCACACATGGTCGGGATCAGCGGCGCTCCCGAGGCCAAGCGTCGCGGGGCCCGTGTAATTCCGAAAGCTGGCACGCATGTGGAGAGCGGATGGTGCAGAGGGCATCCAGACAGCAGGAAATTGTTCATCGCTCTGCCAATGACCGGGGCTAAATGGCTTTGATTTCCCATGCCTCCGTGTCCACATCTGTATGAGGGGAAGGGGGAGTTCGTACATGAGAATAAACGCGCTTGGAAAGCCGTGAAAATACCCTTTCAAGTCAGCCTGATGAAAACTTCATGTTCTGGAGCCCTCTGCTTCAAGGAGAGCAATCTGTTTCAGAGGCAAAGCTGTGTATTTTTCTTATTTAAACCTTCTAAATCTGCTGGAGCATTAAAAATATTTGGCATTTCCACAGCACATTTCATTCCCAGCTCCAAATGCGTTTCGCAGACATTCATTAATTAAGCCTCGTGAAACCTTTGGGAGAAAGGGAAGCAAGGACTTATTAATTTGCTATTTGTATTGCTGCAGTGCATGGAGACCCCAGCCAGGACCTCGGGGCCCTGTTATTTTAGACCTGACCTACACAGAAGAGGAGATGTCAGCACGCCGAGGACACGTGGGATTGGTGGCGGATGAGCACCGATGCTGTAAGTCATCGGCGTTTCAGCACCGTGCCCTTCCTGCTGCTGCTGTGTCTCCCCCCCCAGTCCTCCCAGCACCACACCAGTTCCACCGTGCCTTTTACTGGTGTTCGGAGGCTCCTGCTCCTCCTTACCAGCGCCTCGCGCTCATCCTGCTTCCTCAGACACCGGCTCTGCTTCATTCGATACCTTCTGCTTCCTCCCGGGGCTGCTTTGGCCTCGCAGCACACCCCGCTCTTAAAAAGGTTTAAAATAAATGCTTTTTCTTTATTATTTTTAGGTCCACACAGATATTTTAAGTGCATCCATTTCAGCTCAATAAGCGCACAGCCATAAAGCAGCCCTGCTGACAGCTACCCCAGCCCCGCTGCCCACTCACTGCCGACCTCTCCATCCCAGGTGGGTCGGTGATGGGAGCTGTGAACGTTACACCTCTGCTTCCCCTGCAGGAAAAGCCAGGCTGTGCTGCATGCTGTAAATGCCTTTCACATGTTCCCCAGATCCCAGTTAAATTGAACCCCAGAAGGTCTCTCAAAGCATGAAAAATGCATTTATAAGACGCTGGAAGGAAGATGTATTCCATAACTACTCTGGTGACCAGGCGTGCTGACTTGTGTCATGTGGGGAAGGAACCAAAAGGGGGTATTTCTTGTTATTTCATACCGCTGATGGGATTTTATCTCTGGCAGCAAATCCAGGAACTTTTTAGTTACCATTATTATTTGATTTTATGAGCCATTTGATATTTGGTTTTATTTCTGTTCATTATTTGTTGAGTGCTCTTAGCCCCTTCCCCAAGAAGCCTGCCTTATATCTAAGGTGATTTTTACGACCAGTGTTAGCACAGCATCTGAGCAACTCACACAACTTTAATACATTCATCCCGCACACATCATATCGAGGCAGTCCTGGTATTCCTACTGTGGAGAGCTATGGGCTGCCCCTACAATCCCAATCTTAATTTACTGGGTTAAAAAAACAAAATAATAGGAAACCCCAAGCTATTTGCATTCTTTCTGGTCTTCATTTCAAGCCATCAGGATGTATTTGAGTCATATTTTCACCTTCTCCACCCCAGAAGAAAACCACGAGGACTAGCAATGTACCTTTCACTGCAAGCTAAGCTCTCGCATATCCCACGGCTCCCACAGCTGGGGCTTTAAAATCTGCGTCCAACACTGTGAGACTAATGACAAAATCATGAGCTGGCAGCGCTGCCTTTTCCTCCAACCTTCACGATCCATCCTCAGGAGCAGGAATTCCTCCCAGCACTGTGGGTCCACGCCGTTTGTGTGAGGAGGAGGAGGTGGACAGCCAACGAGGGGATTTTTCCCCAGTTCTTGCTAGATTTCCCCCAGCACAAAGCCTCTCCATTCGTTATTTGCTGTTGTTAGGGAGGATTGACCTGCCTCTTGCTCCCTGCACAGCACCAGTGAGGAACGCTGCCCCATCTCCCACCCATCGCACGTTCTGGAGGTGCTGGGGGCTTTCTCGGTGCCCCTGCTTCTGGCTGGTGTTAGCCCCTCTCATTTCTGCTGGGCTGCTCCCTGCTAATCCCTGTGTAATCCCTGCCAGTGTGTGAGGGGTTGAGCATGCGGGCTGGGTGCGTCTGTGTGCGCTGTTGGAGCCGGGGCATCGCGTGAGCTGCTCCTTCTCCCCTTTGTTTTCCTCCATCAGGATCCCCTGTCTGCATCTCCCCACGGTTCTGTTCAGCTTTGGAGATGTTTTAGCTCCCTGAGGCATTAGTGTCTTCTGGGGGGCTGGTGAATGTGGGACCCTCTCCTTCTCCCCTCAAGCACCATCTCTATCAGTTGCCACCATCACAGGCAACTTCATGAAACACCACCACCACCCCTGGTGAACATGGGACCCCAGCCCTGTGGTGGTACCCAAGGAGGATGAGGTCTCCCACCCATCCTGGGGCGCAGACCAGCCCTGCAGGTCCCCAGTCTCCTCCTGCAGAGCCACTGCCAAGGGTCTGGCACAACCGGCTGAGCAGCATCCCCTTCGTGCTGGCATGGAGACAGCTTGGCTCTTCGGCCAGGCAGCGTTTCCCACCCCGTGGAGCGGTGATGCTGACAGATAACACACACGTGTGCGCACGCCTGTGCTGATAACGTGGCTATAGCTGCCCCTGCACTGAGGGCGAGCAGGAGGAGCAACGTGGGGGCTGCTCAGGAGTGGCTGAGCACCTTCCTCCATGAGCCCTGCGCTCCATCCACTCCCCACGGCGAGGTCCAGCGGAGCCCCTCCGCACGTGCTGCAGCATCACCCACACGTGTCAGCCCCACGAAGGCAACGGCACGGCCCCGGCGCTGGAGAGAACCAGGGAGCCTGGTTCACATCCACCCGGCCAAACCACAACCATACATCCCTGCTTCCCCTGACCAGCTTGGCTGCGCTCCTCACCTGGCAGGAGAACACACGGCAGCGAAAATAAACACGGAGGGAAGCGAAGCCCCTCATGGCCCGGCGAGCGAGGTCTGCGTTCCAAGAAGTAATGAAGCCCAGGGAATGGAAAATGCATGTCACTTGGCGGCGGGCTGGATGCGCGCAGGCGGCCGCGCCGGCTGCCGAGAGGGTGCTTGGCTTCCCCACGGCACGGCCACGGCACAGCAGCTGCGCCAGGCCCCGCCAGCGGCACCGCGCTGAACTCTGACATTTGGAGACGCAGAATAATTTGGCTTCATTATTCCCCCCTCTTCCCCCCGAGCGGTCCCTCGAGCCGGGCTGGAATGTGCGTGGTAGGGACAGAACCAATCCCATTAGCACGAGGAGATTGTTTTTCGTTTGGGTTTGTTGCTGTTGAATCACCCGTGGCTCCGAGTCTTTGGGGTAGGTCATAGGAAGGAGGACAGGCAGAGGGCACCCATGGGTGGTGTTGCTGCCGGGTGGCTGCTGCCCACGGCTCGGGGCTCCCTGGCTGCCTGGTTTTGGCAGCACCACGAGGTTTCTGTCTTTGAAGGCCTTGCTGCCAGCTCCAGGGTGGTGCCTGGTAAGGTTTGAAGGAGCATTGGTGAGGGTAAGGGCGCAGCTCCCATGCTGCAGGAAGATGCTGCAAGGCAGCGATGCTGCCAGAGCTCGTTTGAACCCCTGCATCCTCACCTGCATCCTCACCCTCACTCATCCCTGCATGGAGACTGGCGACCACAGGAGTTAAAGCTGAGTTTACAGCTCTGTGTCGGTCAGGACAGCGCCGGATTGCAGCCATGTGCAAGCAGGAGCCGGGCCAGGGGCAGCGAGAGGCAGCTGGAGCAGCTCGAAAACATCCTTCCCCAGCTGAGAGAGGAGCCCTGGCTCTTGCTCCATCATCTTCAAAAGCTCTGCTCTGGCAGGGCCCAGAGCTGCTGTTTCACCCGGGTTGTGCGTTCTCATGAAAGACCCTCATTCCTCCAACATGAAGCAAGAATAAGAAACCTCCCGCTGGCTGCTTTGTGTCCAGCAGCATCTCCCTGCGATGTGAGTGGGAAGGGGAGCAATGGGTGCAGACCCGAATGAACCAACACCGCGTCCACTCTGAACTGGGAGAATCGGCCACAAACCATGAAGATGGGGATTGGCACGTGTGGATGTGCAAGGCAGGGGCTTCTCTGAGCCCTTCCCCACCCTGCTGCCCCAGTCCTGGGCTTTCTGCCTTGTGCAGCATCCATGGGCCGTGCTTCTTCCAAGCAGAGACATCCCATTGGGACACAGCACAGGGCTCCGGACACCCAGCAGTGCGACAAGGAGCTGTGAGTGCTCCTCAGGTCCTCCTCAGCACGGGTGAGGTGATGAGAAATAGGGTGAGCAACACCACTGGGAGCAGATGGCAAGAGGGGAGGAAAATCCATGTGGGAATGCATTCACTGCATGGCCCGGCTGCTCTGGAAAGTGGAGCCAGGACAGAGCCAGGCAGTGGAGACTTGCTGGGGGGATAGAAAGGAAGGTGGAGGTGAGAACAGCCCAAAGCAGCCCAGAGAGAGCAGCCATGGGGCTGCTAACCCCAACCAGCTGTGGTTCCTGTGGCTGGGCACAAGGATGCTCACGGCAAGGATGTGACCCACCATGGTTGCCATGGGCTGGAGGGTGCAATTCCACCGTGGGCTGGCTCACCCATGGCTGATGGGGCCACACACCATGAATCCTGCTTCTCCTGTGAGAAAAAGGGGGAGCAAGAAGGAGAAAGGCACCGGATGGAAGCCCCGGCTGCCTGCTGCGGGGAGTGGAACCAGCTGATTTCATGCGTCTCCTTCTCGTTAGAGTGGGGTCCCTGCTCACCTGCTCCCGGGCATGGTTCCTGCACCCCGAGCCAGCAGTGAGGAATCTGACTCCAGCTCAAAGGCGAGGAGCTCGTCCATGGATCCCACCCCAGGAGGGGACGTGCTCGGAGCCGGGTCTCCAGCTGTCTGCACCCATCCTGTGCCTTCCCACCAGCCCCTGGCCGGGGGTGCAGAGCGAGCCCTGTCTGCTCCTGCTGGCACCCAGCCACTGCTCCATCACTGCAGGGTGTCTGGGGGTGCCAGCACCCTCACCCAGCCCGCAATGGGGCTCAGCACCGATACCTTGGTCTGCATGCGGAAGGTGCTGGAGAAAGACACCCCCTGACACCATCCAGGGGCACCCAGGCTTGGCTGTGGCCCGGGGACTCTTGCCCCTGCATCACCAGTTTGTCCCTGCCCCAAAGCCTGATCAGCAATGGGCTCCCATCTCTCAGCCCTTCCCTCTTGCCCTGCCAGCCCCGACCCCCCTCTGCACACCCTGGCACCCTGAGGCACCCCTGGGCCCCCGAGGCACCCTGCAGCCTGCTGAGGACCCCGTGCAAGCCCCACACCCCAGCATCCCTGCAACATGGCCATGGCACACACTGCCTCCTGCACTGGAGCATCCTCCACATGGGCAGGGCAGGCAGTGAGCTGCAAACTGCATCCCTGTGCCCTCCGTTTAGGGAGCTCAGCATCCCCCCAGCATCAGATGAGCGCAGAGCTCAGCATCCCCCCAGCATCAGATGAGCGCAGAGCTCAGCATCCCCCCAGCATTGGATGAGTGCAGAGCTCAGCATCCCCTCAGCATCGGATGAGTGCAGAGCTCAGCATCCCCCCAGCATTGGATGAGTGCAGAGTAGCATCCCCAGCATGATAGCACAGAGCTCAGCATCCCCTCAGCATCGGATGAGTGCAGAGCTCAGCATCCCCTCAGCATCGGATGAGTGCAGAGCTCAGCATCCCCCCAGCATCGGATGAGTGCAGAGCTCAGCATCCCCCCAGCATTGGATGAGCACAGAGCTCAGCATCCCCCCAGCATCGGATGAGCACAGAGCTCAGCATCCCCCCAGCATTGGATGAGCACAGAGCTCAGCATCCCCCCAGCATCGGATGAGCACAGAGCTCAGCATCCCCCCAGCATCGGATGAGCACAGAGCTCAGCATCCCCCCAGCACCGGATGAGTGCAGAGCTCAGCATCCCCCCAGCATTGGATGAGTGCAGAGCTCAGCATCCCCCCAGCATCGGATGAGTGCAGAGCTCAGCATCCCCCCAGCACCGGATGAGTGCAGAGCTCAGCATCCCCCCAGCATTGGATGAGCACAGAGCTCAGCATCCCCTCAGCATCGGATGAGTGCAGAGCTCAGCATCCCCCCAGCATTGGATGAGCACAGAGCTCAGCATCCCCCCAGCATCTGAGGAGTGCAGAGCTCAGCATCCCCCCAGCATTGGATGAGTGCAGAGCTCAGCATCCCCCCGGCACTGGATGAGTGCAGAGCTCAGCATCCCCTCAGCATTGGATGAGCACAGAGCTCAGCATCCCCTCAGCATCGGATGAGCACAGAGCTCAGCATCCCCCCAGCATTGGATGAGCACAGACCTCAGCATCCCCCCAGCATTGGATGAGTGCAGAGCTCAGCATCCCCCCGGCACTGCCTAAATCCCGAGGCAGGGATAGCAGGGGCCGTGCTCTGGCAGCTCTTTGGAGCTCTTTCTTTGGCTGTGACTCGTAACGAGCACCCCAGCATCCATCCGCAGCCCCGCGGGGGGCGGGCAGCACCTCCTCATTCCTGGCTCCGCATCCCAGCTTAAACAAGGAGCCGAGGCCAGCTCCCAGCGCCAGCTCCTCGGGGGCCCCGTGCTGCTGCTGGCTCGAGGACGGGACCCTGCTGAGCTACTGAAGTGCTAGAAACGAGCCTGGAGGCCCTTGCGTGAGCTGTTGTGTGTGCTTGGCATGGGGAGAGCTCCATTGGGGCGTGGACGTGGGAGCCGCGCCAGGACAGACCCGCTCCACGTGTGGGGAAAGGTGGGAACGCAGGGGAGCGCGTCCCGGCCCTCACCAGGCTCACGGGGGCTCCCCGTGTGTGCTGGGGTTTTCCTCCTGGGAACGGGCACCGGTGGGTGATGTCAGTGGGAAAAGCCCTCGTCCCCCAGCCCTTTTCTGTGGCATCCCCACTGTGGTCAGCATCCCCCTCCTCCTCCTCCTCCTCGCAGCAGAGGTCCCTGCTCACCCCACACCTTCCCAGCACCCACCGAGCACACCCACCCCACACCAGCTCCCCATGGAGCACAGAATCCCCTTGGACACTTGATGCTGGCTCTCTTGATGCAGGGGACCTGCCAGCCCTGCAGCACAGAGGAGCGTGGCTCCATGTCCATCGCTCCATGTCCATCGCTCCATGTCCATCACTCCATGTCCATCACTCCATGTCCATCACTCCATGTCCATCATTTCATGTCCATCACTCCATGTCCATCACTCCATATCCATCACTCCATGCCCATCACTCCATGTCCATCATTCCATGTCCATCATTCCATGTCCATCATTCCATGTCCATTGCTCCACATCCATCGCTCCATGTCCATCATTCCGTGTTCATCGCTCCACATCTGTTGCTCCATGTCCGTTGCTCCATGTCCATTGCTCCATGTCCATCACTCCATGTCCATCACTCCATGTCCATCATTCCATGTCCATTGCTCCACATCCGTTGCTCCATGTCCATTGCTCCACGTCTATCGCTCCATGTCCATTGCTCCACATCCGTTGCTCTATGCCCATCGCTCCATGTCCACCTTTCCATGTCCATCATTCCATGTCCATCGCTCCACGTCCATCGCTCCACGTCCATCGCTCCATTTCCGTCGCTCCATGTCCATCACTCCATGTCCATCACTCCATGTCCATGTCCATTGCTCCATGTCCATCGCTCCATGTCCATTGCTCCATGTCCATCCAAAACAGCCCAAGCAGGGGATTTCTCTCCAGTTTGCTGGAGGTTTCATCCTGGCTCAGCTTGCAAAGGTGAGACCTGAGCTGGGAACAGACCCACACAAGGACTCCAACCTGCTGGTGATGGGCACCAGTGAAGCCAGAAACTCATCCAGATCTGGTACAAACCTTTTATTGCCCCTCTGCCCACGCTGCCCAGCCTGGGGCTGGGTTTGCCCTTGGGAAGCCCACGGCCCCACGTGGTTGCACCCCAGGGATGGGGAGAGCCGCCGTGGCCCGGACAACACCACAGAATCCACGAGCTTTACACTGAGCCAAGTGACAATGAGAAGTGTACCCCAAAACAGACACGAGACCCCCCTCGCCCCCAGCCCCGCTCCCCAAACCCAGATATGTCGCATGGGTATAAGTGACACGGAGCAGCACAACAGTGGTGGGATAGGGACGAGAGCCCCCTGCCCCCCCACACCACAGCCCCCCGAGACCGCGGGGAGCAGCCAGCACATGGAAAGAGCCTAAAAACCCAGGGAGGGGGTCACAATAAGTTAATCTGTACAGATGTGTTAGGTGATGGGGGGATGGCAGGGACCGCCACCGCCGGGGCCAGTGAACCACATGCCGGTGCAGATCAAGCCATGAAATGATGGAGAATGGTGGGGAGATGGGGAGATGCCCTGGCTCACATTGGCTGGGAGACCCTAGGGATGGGCCCTTGCTTCCAGGGCTGTGAGCCCGGGTTCCTGGAGGCCGGCTGCTGCTAGGTCCTGCCGTCAGCTACAGCTCCGCACCAAGCAGGGATGGGGAGCCCAGGCAGAGGCATCCCAGCAGCTCCCACCTCCTGCCCAACGCCACCCGGTCCCCTGCTTGGTCCCACCATCAACCCATGGGCCCTGGGACCAGGCGCCCCGAAGACATCACGGAGCAGGGAGGGGAAGGGGCCGGCTGGGTCCTCGCGTGGGCACGGATGCTGCGGGATCCGCTCCCCTCGCCGGCTGCCAACGCCAAATCCATTCGCCACGTTTCGGCTCCCCGAGGCAATCGGCTCCGGCCGGCGGAAGGGGGTTCCCAGGGCTCGGAGACGGCGCCTTGGAGGCTCAGCCCAAGGTGGGAGGCCGGGGATGTGCGGAGCCAAAGCCCAGAGCGCTGCAGGCGCTCTCCATCCCCCACCGCAGCCGGCTCCCTCCTGCCCAGCGCTGGACCCGTGCCCGGAGGGGGCCCGGGGGGCTCCGGTCGGGAGGGCTCGGACCTCCCCGTCACCGGAACGGGCTCCTCCGGCCTCCCCGCTCTGGCAGCTCCGCTCTTGGCTCCCGAGTGCTGGAAACCGGGATCCCAGCAACCAGCACAGCCACGGAGCAGGGACAGCCCCCGCCTGGCTCCCAGTGGCCATCCCTGGGGATGGGAGTGGGACCGAGCCAGGCTCTCCCCGTGCCAGAGCCAGAGATGCTCCTCCGGGAGCTGGGACATGGGGCAGCGGAGCAGGACCTGGGATGATGCCATGGGGATGGTGACAGAGGGGACGGGAAGGGGTGGGAGCGCTACAGGATGGTCTTGTCCAGGTCGACTTTGAGGGGCAGCGGCCCCGCATCCTCGCCACCGTGATCGGGGCAGAGGGTGACGGCGATGACGGGCGGCAGGGGGAAGGCGCTGGGGCCATCCAGGTCCTCCAGGTACTCCTTGTCCCCATTGATGCTCAGAGGCTGGAAGAGAGGAAGAGGGGATTGTGCAGCCCTGGAGCAGTCCAGGGCCACCATGGGGCTGGTTGGAGCAGTACCACGCGGTATGGATGGCTGGGGACCACACACTCTGTATGGCCACATCTCAGCCCCACAAGGCTCACCCAGCCACGACGGGGAGACCTGGGGTGTTGGGGACCCCCATAGGGTCCCCCCCGGCTGCACTGAGCACCCCTCACCCCATATACCTGTGTCTTGACGTGCTGCTCGGGGGCAGTCACCAGGCTGGCACAGCTCAGCCACAGCATCACCATGATGGAGAGGAAGAGGCAGGCGGCCAGGATCCAGCGAGGAAGGCCCGAGCGCCTGTAGCACCCCACCACCCCCCGCCAAAGAGAAGAGACCGGTTTATGGCAGGGCACGGGGTGGGAATTGGGGTGGGGGGGGCCCTGTTGCAGCACATCCCCACACAGCCCCACTGCACTTACTTGGACATGCAGCCCAGGAAGTCGTGCTCCGGCGGCGGCGGCTCCGGGTGCTGCCCCTTGGCTTTGCCCCTTGGCTCCTTCACCGGGGGCTTCTCCCCCTTCCCCCGGGGGCCTGGAGGGGCAGAGGTGATGCTGAGCCCAGCACCCACTGTGGGCACCCTGCCCTGCTCCCCATGGTGTGATGCAGGGGTGCCAGTGGTCCCCTCTCCCCCCGGGAACCCTCTGCCCACAGGGGATCCCAGCAGCTCCTTGGAGCGGGTCCCATGTCCAGGCTCACCCCCCTGCATGGGCATGGGAATGTAGCCAGGCCTGTTCAGCTCTATAGAAATGGGATGAGAGACAGAAGGGATTGGAAGCCCACAAAACCAGCATCAAAACCCCCCCAAAACCTGTGTGGGGCTGGGGGACATGGGGACCAGGTCCCGGTCCTGGCTGCGCTGGCTGGGTCTCCGGCACCGCAAGGACTGGATACTCCATCTCCGGCTGGGACTGGTGGGTCGGCAGGGAAAGAGGGAGAAAGCCATGAGCAAGGGGGAGCGCACCCCTCTCACAGCCATCAGAGAGGGAACACGGGGACGCCCCCACCTGGAACACCACGACTTTGCCATCGTCTGCCTGCAGGTAGAAGGTCCAAGTGGAGGAGATGAAGCTCTGGGCAGAGCTGACGATGTCGTTGCAGAAGGTGGAGACCAAATCGAGCATGGAGAATGCTGGCACCTTCAGCTCCAGGCTCTGCAGAGGAGCAGGGGGCATCGAGTCACCACCATCCCCTCATCACCCACCACGGTGTCAACCATCACTTACCACGGTACCAACCATCACCCACCACGGTGTCAACCATCACCCACCACAGTGTCAACCATCACCCACCACGGTGTCAACCATCACCCACCACGGTGTCAACCATCCCCACAGTGCCAACCATCACCCACCATGGTGCCAACCATCACCCACCACAAAGTCAACCATCACCCACCACACTGCCAACCATCACCCACCACGGTGCCAACCATCACCCACCATGGTGTCAACCATCCCCACAGTGCCAACCATCACCCACCATGGTGTCAACCATCACCCACCACAAAGTCAACCATCACCCACCACGGTGCCAACCATCACCCACCACGGTGTCAACCATCACCCACCACGGTGTCAACCATCACCCACCACGGTGTCAACCATCACCCACCACGGTACCAACCATCACCCACCACGGTGCCAACCATCACCCACCACGGTGCCAACCATCACCCACCACAGTGCCAACATCCACCCCAACGACGTGGCCTGGCTGCTTAGACCTGGGGCTCAGCACAGGGGATGTGTAGGACCTGCACTCCAACCCCAATAGGTGCACCGGCCCCGGGGCTGTGGTCCCCACGGCCACCCCGCAGCCCTATGCATGCACCAGCTCTCGGAACAATAGGCAGGAGCAGCGGAGCGGCCGCGGGCGTTCCTCTCCTGGCAGCCTCGCGGTGCCCTGGATTCTTGGCCGTCGCGGCAGTTTGTTATTTTTAAAGCATCCCTGCTGGAATCCGCTTGGCTGCTCCCTGCCACTGGCTCCGAACATTTTCCGACAGCCCCTTGCACGGTCAAAGCAGCAAACAGGAAATAAATAGGTCAGATTCTGTGTCTAATTATTATGCTTAAATCTGCTTTGCTGCTTGGATGGGAACCCGGAGGAAAAATGCTTCGGGGTGGGTGAAGGGGTGGCCCAGGCCTCTCCGTCAGCTGGCGGCCCCTCGGTGCTCATCCCAACCTTGGAGAGGGGCTGGGAAATGGGGTCAGATACTGGGAAGGTCTCAAAAACAGGCTGCAAAGGGGGTTCTCAAAGGAGCTGCGGCTTTCCTGCAGCACAAATTGATCTTCATCTGCACGTGCACAAAGCTGGAGGCTCCTCCCTGGGGGACCAGGGTCTGATTCCAGCAATTGGGCAAAAGCTGAATTGAGGAAAAGTAGGAGGGAAAAGTGTTGCCAACTGCTGCAAAGGGTAACACTGAAACGGGAATTTGCCATAGTCACCGGTCAGAACTTCCCCCTGGGAATTCGGATGTTTAGATGGATGGATGGATGGATGGATGGATGGTGGATGGATGGTGGATGGATGGTGGATGGATGGTGGATGGATGGATGGATGGATGGTGGATAGATGATGGATGGATGGTGGATGGACGGATGGATGGAGGGATGATGGATGGGTGGGTGGATGGATGGTTGACGGATGGATGAATGGATGGATGGATGGATGGATGGATGGATGGTGGATGGATGGTGGATAGATGATGGATGGATGGTGGATGGACGGATGGATGGAGGGATGATGGATGGTTGATGGATGGATGGATGGATGGATGGATGGATGGTGGATGGATGGTGGATGGATGGTGGATAGATGATGGATGGTGGATGGACGGATGGATGGAGGGATGGATGGTGGGTGGGTAGATGGGTGGGTGAGTGGGTGGGTGGATGGCTGGATGGATGGATGGATGGATGGTGGATGGATGGATGGTGGATGGATGGATGGAGGATGGATGGTGGATGGATGAATGGTGGATGGATGGATGGTTGGATGGATGGATGGATGGTGGATAGTGGATGGATGATGGATGGATGGATGGATGGATGGATGGATGGATGGATGGATGGTGGATGGATGGATGGAAGGGTGGATGGATGGTGGATGGATGGATGGATGGATGGGGGATGGATGGATGGATGGATGGATGGATGGATGGAAGGGTGGATGGATGGAAGGGTGGATGGATGGATGGAGGATGGATGGTGGATGGTGGATGGATGGATGGATGGATGGATGGTGGGTGGATGGATGGATGGAAGGGTGGATGGATGGATGGGGGATGGATGGAAGGGTGGATGGATGGATGGTGGGTGGATGGATGGGTGGGTGGATGGATGGATGGATGGTGGGTAGATGGATGGTAGATGGATGGATAGAAGGGCGGATGGATGGAAGGGTGGATGGATGGATGGAGGGTGAATGGTGGATGGATGGATGGAGGGTGGATGGATGGATGGATGGATGGTGGATGGGCTGCATATGTGGACTGTTACATCCAGCCCCTACCACCTCCTGCCCTCAGACCCTTTGGGGAAGCAGCCAGATGCAAGGACAGGTCTTGGTGGCACCGAGGGCAGGCTGGGTGGGTTAAGGGGATGAGCGGGGCCTCCCCATCTCCCCGGCCCTCACCTTCTCCTTCCTGCTCTCCACCTCGGGCAGCTGCTTGCGGCACCCGGTCACGCAGCCAAACTGCTCCTCTGCGCTGCTGTAGGCCTCAGTGCAGGCTGCAGGGCAGGAGGGGGGTCAGGATGAGCCCAGCACCCCAGCACTCCCCAGCCCGTCCCAGTTCACACTCTGGGTGTAAGCGTGCCCCCGGCTGGGTTTGCAGCAGGGTCTGGATGCGGCCCTGGGGCACAGCGCGGGGCAGGATGCTTGGGAGGGTGGGAAGCGGAATGTGGAGGACCCCCCGGGAGGGTGTTGGGGTGCGGAGGCCGCGCAGGCACCGGCTCCTCACCTGCCTCACACTCGGCCCTGGTTGTGTTCAGCTCGGCGCTCACATCCACGAAGTGACAGATGGAGAACAGCCGGCAGCCCCGGTAACAGGCGTTGAGAACAGCATCCTGCAGCGAGGAGGAGGAGGACAGCGTGGAGCTGGCACCAGGCTCAGCCCCGTGGCTGCGCCGGACCCCCCCCCACTGCAGCCCCCACACACCCAGTTTGGGGGCACAAGGCAGGACCATGGCGGGGGCTGGCACCCCAAACCTGGGGGGATGGCACGGGGGGTGGGGGGGGGCAGAGCTGCTTTCGCCCCACAGTTTGCACCCAGTGGTGGGGTCTGCGGCCCCATTGAGGATGTGGCAGGTCCCCCCTTCTCTGTTGGGGTGCTTGGCACTGGCTGGGCCCCAGCATGGACTTGGGGGGCTGGGGGGGGGGAGCATTGGGGTGATGCATGAACTGTGGGTGCTGGGAGCACAGTAGAGGGGGTACACGGGGGGGTCACTGCACCTCCACGGGTGCAGGTTTGGGGTGTCTGTGCTGTGGGAGCGAGGGCAAGGCCGGCACCGGCACAAGGGCCCGGGTGGGCTCTTCCCAAGGCACTGGCCTGGATCCAGCCCGGGGCTCGGGAATGGTCCCGGTGCCACCCCACGGCCCCCAGCGTGGCTCGGCTCTGATCCGGGGCCTTCTGCGATGCTCCATGCCCAGCAGCGAGCACCCGGCTCCATCCCCATCCCCGCTGCAGCTGCTCGGAGCCTGCCAGCACCCCCAACCCGGGGCAGCCCCTGGGGGCACCCAGTCCCTGCAGGGCTGAGCCCTGGGTGCTCCCCAAAGCTGGGGTGGGTGAAACCACCGCGGGCCCCCCCCCCAATCCTGTGCTGAAAACCGGGGCTCCCGTGGTGCTCCCAGTGCCCCCATGGTGCTGCCCGCGGGGGGGTGGCCGGTGTGGGGCCGTGTGACGGTGGCGATGCCGGTACAGGGTGGGTGCCCCTCGTACTCCTGCTCCCCCCCATGTGCCCCCGGTGCTCCAGGTCCGTCCCCCCCCTTCTTGATGCCCCTGCTGCTGCCATCCCCCTGATGCTGCTGGTACCCCTGCCGCCTCCCCCCCCCCGGTGCCGCTGCTGCCCCTGGTACTCCCGATGCTGCTGATGCTTCCGGTACCCTCCATTCTCCCGGTGCCCCCCGCTGCTCCCAGTCCCCCCCCCCCCCGCTGTTCCCGGCACCCCCGGTACCCCCGTGCCCGGTGACTCACGGCGGCGGCGCGGTGCGGGAGGCTGCGGCCGCACTGCCCGCGGCACCCGGCGGTGTCTCCGAGCTGGGGCGAGAACGGGTCGGGGGCGGCGGCGGCGGCGGCGGCGGCCAGGGCCAGGCCGAGGGCGAGCAGGGCCCGGGGGCTGCGGGCGGCCATGGCGGGCGCGGAGCGGAGCGCACCCATCGCCGCCACCGGCCCCGCCGTGACGCGCCGTGCGCCGGGAGGGGGCGGCGGGGGGAGCCGGGGGCGCAGCCGCAGCCTGCGCAGCTCCGCCGGTACCGGCACCGACACCGACACCGACACCGGGAGCGGCGGGCGGTGCTGGAGGGGGGGCGGAAGGATGGGGGTGCGCGGGCACCGGCGATGCGGAGGGACCCCGGGATGCAGGAGGAGCTGTGGACCAGGGAGTGCTGGAGCGCTGGGGGGTGCGGGAGAACCGGGAGATGCACGGGGACCAGAAGGTGCAGCGGGACCGGGGGCTGTGAAGGACCCCGAGGGAAGCAGGGGGCACACAGGGATCGGAGGGGCACAGCAGGCCTGGGGTGCAGAGGGATGGGGGGAGCAACAGGTCTGATACCAGCAGCACAGAGGAAAAGGACTGGGGAGAAGAGGGGATCTGGGGGGACCAGGGCACACAGAGACAGGCTCCCCAGGGACCGGACCGCAGGAGGGCACAAAGGGGCTTGTCCCCAGGCAGCGTTAGCCCGACCCGTGTCACCCTCCACGGCCCTCGGGGCCTCCCCGAGTTGCCTTCGTGCATCGCACCCTCACCCTCCTCACCCTCGCCCCGCGGGGCCCCCCCAGCCGGGGCACTGGGCCCTCCCTGACACCCCAGATTTACAGCTTTGATTTCCCAGGGTTTAAGAGACATAAAAGGCGCAGGCTTGGCCCCGCTCGCCGCTGCCCTGCCCATGAGCCTTATTTATGGCAGCACCCCAAAGCAGGCCCGGGGGGAGGAGGAGGAGGAGGGCTGGGGGCTTCGCTAACCTCCAGCCCTAATGGGGAACACATGGCAGGACCCCGGCGTGGAGAAGAGGGGGGGATCTCCGGGTCCCAGCTCAGGACTGAGGGTGGGGGGGCTCCACATCCCGGGGCAGGGGCAGAGGGGTGCGGGTGGCCGGATCCCCTCGGGGGTGGCTGGGGGAGCAGAGCCCAGTGTGTCCCCCCCCCGGGAGCAGGGAGTGGGGCCTCTCCTCGCCCCGCTGTGCTCCGCCAGCTTATTCATCTTGTTAATCAAACCAGGGCCGGGAGAAAATGCGCTCGGGCCGGGCTGGCGGGGCTGCCAGGTCCCCCCGCTCCCCCCTTCCCCTCCTGGAGCCCGGCCAGCCCCTCGGCCTCGTGTCCGGCACCGGTGACTAATGGCCAAGTAAATGGGGTAGATTGGGGGCTGTCACCGTAAATCACGGCACCGCGCGGCCGCAGGTGAGGTTCCGGGGGGTAAGGGGGGTAAGGGGGGGTGTTAGAACCGGAGCCCTGACCCCCGGCCAGGACCGGGTCCCAACGGACGGAGCGCGGGGAGCACCGCGCCGCCCCCTGCGCATCGCTCCCACCGCACCTGCCCGCTCCGCGCCGGGCGCCGGCCCCGCTCCATGCTCTCAGCCTGCACCGGCAGAGCCCATGCCCAGGCAGGAACACCCCGGTTGGCAAATATTTGCTGCGCTCCCTCCTCCCCTCTCCAGCAACACCCGAGCCCTTCGCGTTTATCACCACTGACCTACATTTCCCTTCCCAGAGCCTTTCATGAAGCTCCCCGCGGTCCCGCCGTGTCCCAGCCCATCCCTCCTGCTCAAGCACCCCCTCGACATCAACCACATTTTCCCCCCCTTCTAGAGATCAGCAAACTCCATCCCGGGCCTTTTTGTGCTTCCCAAAGCAAACAGAGGCAGGAAGGTGCGGCCGCCCGCAGCGAGGATGCTCTTGAGCGCAAGGGTTGTGCTATGGGGGGTGGCAGGGAAGGGGTTAAGCGGGTTATAAATTACCCATGGATGTGGAAATGTGACTGAGAGGAATATAAAGCAAACTCTGACTGCTGGATTCTTTGCATTTCTAGCCTCTTTATTTTTCCCCCAGGTCACTTTAAAAGGATGCAGGCAGTCAGAGGCAGCTCCGCTGCGCCTCTCCTCCTGCCTTTTCTGGGGTTTGGGGGGGGTTTGCTGTTTGTTTTTTACACCCTGGCCCTTGAGCCAGATGCTGTCTCTGTCCAAGGACTTTATGGAGTGAGCTCTGGCTGGGAAATCAAGTAATTAGATTAATTCAGGGTAGATGTGCTGGGCCCAGCCGCAGTGACACATGATGGAGGGCTGGCAGGAAGGTGGGAAGCCAGACTGAGGATGCTCAGCCCAGGTCTGGGGGTGTCACCAGGGCCACCCCGGGGGCCTGGATCTGTGTGGGGAGGGCTCAATCCCACCTGGGCATTGCGGGGACCTCGCGGCTCGTTGGGAGCTTGGCCCCACGGCCGGATCCTGCCCTGGAACAGGGCAAAGGCCCTGGGAACTGAGCCACGCCGGGGAGGGGGGGGGCAGCCGGACCACGCCAGCCCCAAGGGACCCCCGCGCTGACGCTGGGGCCGGATCCTGCCCCTGCCTGGGGCTGCGGGCTGGTGGGCAGGAGGAGCGGCCCGTTAAAGGTCACTGTCAAAGGGCAGCGCTGACCGCATCTGCCCCGGGCGCTGACTCAGAGCCGGAGCGCGGCTCTGTCATCTCCGGCTGCTCCCGGCGCTGCCGTGGGGCCGGATCCTGACCCCCGCGTCTGGGGACCTCAGGCAGGGCAGGGCTGGATCTATGTGTGTGTGTGTGTGTGTCCACCCCGTCCTGTCCCCATCCCACAGCTTCGCGTCCTGATGGATGCTGCTGTGAGACGGGGCGGGTGACATCCTCAAGCCATGGTCCAGGTGACACCAGTGGGGACTGGTGTTGTTTCACCTCCTCCCAGCACCACTGTCCCCCCATCTCCCCCCTGACCCTCCAACACAGCCTCAAGCCACCTCCCGATGCTCCCCTGCTGGAGCTGGCCATGGCCTCTGTGTCAAAGCCACGGCGGGGGTCACTCCTTGCCCCGTGGGAGCCCACCCCTCCCTGCTTCCCCATCCTATGCCTGCGATCCTTGGCTCCGGGTGGAAGCGGAGGGGCTCGGCTGTGGGCAGCGCAGGTGGGCAGCCGGGGCTCCGCGATCCCCCCCCCCCCTCCGCAGCATCCAGGGCTGGCTCCAGGCCCGGGGTGGCTTCCCGGGGGGCCGCGGGCCGTGGGTCGGGACCGCGGGCGGCCTCAGCCCCCAGGGGCTGCCGTGATTCAGCCTCCGGGCTGCGGCCGCGGCCGCCTCTCAGGCTGGGTGGCTCCGGAGCCTGACGGCTTGGGGAAATGTCGACAGAAACGCTTCAGAGGCTTCCAAAAAACAGGAGGATGGGAAAAGGCATCGTCCTGCCCCCCCCCCCGCTCCTTGTGCTCCGCTTCCTAATCCCTGCCGTCCCAACAACCGCCCATGGCTGCGGGGCTCAGTGGGGCAGGGGCTCAGTCATGGTGTCACCCATTTGGGTCACCCAGGTGTCCCCTGTGCTCCCCTCTCTCTGCCCCCTGCACTGAGCGATGTCCCTGTTCTCACAGCCGTGGATGCAGAGCTGGGACAGGGAGCGAAGGGATAGGGAAAGGCACTGGGCAATGCCCCCATGGACCAGAGATGCCCCCAGAGTCCCCCACAAACCTCAGCCTCGGGGTTCCCATCCCTGTGCCAGCCTCAGGGTCAGGGCCACCACGTCCCTGCACGTCCCCTCTGCGTTGGGGGGAGCATGACCCAGGCACCTCCCAGCATGGGGTGCTTTCAGGGTGCCCCAGCCCGCACCCCACGGCTCAGGGGACCCATGCATGGGGACAAGTGGCCTGGCTACCATCAAGACCCAGGGCTCTGCCACCCAAAGCTCCGGTTACCACCGAGTCCAGGGTGGGGGGACGGGGAGAGGCCCCCCGATGGGAAGTGATGCCCGAGGGGACACCTTTGCTGTGGTGCCAGCGGCACAACCAGCACTGGGCTGCCCAAGACCCCTGGGGACAAACCCAGCCCCAAGCCTGGTGCTGGAGCCACGTGGGGCGTTTTCCCCACTGTTTGGTGTTCTCTTTGGGGCGGGGGGGAACCAGAGGTGATGCTGCCATGGAAAACATTGGGATTTTCGGGAAGAGATTCCCGGTTTCACCTCTGGACAAGCAACAGGAGGGCTCTGGGCTCCTGAACGCGCTTTCCATGGGAGAAGCCCCGGGGGTCCGACCCCGGGAGCACGGGAGGGTCCGTGGGAGCCACGCGTGAGTCACCGGCCCCGGGGCTGCTCCTCCGCACCCACCGCGGGGCTCGGGGCAGCGGGGCCCGGGGGGCAGCGCCGGGCGGGCGCCGGGGGTGGGCATCGGGGCCGGTACCGGAGCGGGACGGCGGAGCCCCGGGGCCGGTGCCTTTCTGCCCCCCCGGGGGCGGTCCCGGGCCGGGCGGGGCGGGGCCAGGGCGGCAGTTGGGGCTTGGGTAACCGGGGGTTGCTCAGACTTGCTCGGGACTTCCCCGGACGCGCCGGTGCGCTCCGCAGCCCCGGGCACCGACGGGCACCGGAGCCGGCCATGGCGCCGTTACCGCTGCTCCCGGTGCTGCTCCTGCTCTGCCCGCGCCTCCTCCGCGCCGATCCCCTCGCCTGTGAGTACCGGGAGCACCGGGCGGCTCCCGCAAGGTGGGCGCGGGGCGGGCGAGTCCCGGGGGTCCCGTCGGGGCCGGGGCGGGCGCTGCGCGGATCCCCCCCCCGGGGCTCCCCCGGTCAGCGCGGGGCCGGCCCCTGCCCTGTGCCCCCCTCCAAGCCGCGGGGTGCGGAGGGGCCCCCGGAGCGGCGGGCGGCGGCGGTGGGGGGGGGGGACATCGCCGGGCGCACCTCGGGGCTGCGCTTCGCCTCCCGTGGCCGGTAACGGGGATCCCCCCATGGACGGCAGCCGGGACCCCCCGCCCTGCCCGGCCCCGCAGCCCAGCCGGGACCCCCCCCTCCCCGCAGAGAACAATAGAGGAGCCTCTCTTGCTCCCCCCCATCCCTGGCAGCAGCGGGGACCCCCCAGGCCCCCAGGAGCAGCCGGGACCCCCGTCCCCATGGAGAAGAGGGACCCTATCCCCGGGAAGGGTCTGTCCCTCCCTGTCCCCCCCCCCCTTTTCGCCGTGCAGCCCCCCCCTCCCGGAGAACAATG